AAAATTGCTCTCATAGTGAAATGGGAGAATCCCGTTCAATTGCAGGTACTTTTATGTGACCCGAATTAATTGCTTCCCACCTTTATTGCAGTTGGTATATTAATTCAATGAAAACAGAGATATTATTACGGCAAGCTTTGTAGACCACTTTCGATGGTTACTGCAATAACTAGTAGTTCTACATACATTGGCTAGGCTCGGTCTAGTAAAACCAAACACAATTTCAGCGCTAAGGGGATAAAATAAGTGGGGTTCCCACACGGGGGGGGGGGTCGTCTACTCGTCTGTAGATGACCCGAGGTATGTCGGGGCACCAGGGACTTCCTTTCTAGGCGGCGCGGCGTGCGGTTTTAGTCGGTTCGAGTCCGACATGCCACCGACAGGGTGGGAAAAAAAAAAAAGGGATAAAATAAGGGATGAACGGTCATATGGAAGTTCGTTATTTAAACACGCAATAATCAGGCGAGCGAAACCACGGGCAACAGCTAGTTACTTATTAATTTCACAGTACGAAGTTACACAACCATTTCCGACAAGCGAAATGACTTGTAATTGAAGTAAGACAAATCCCTTACATAATCTTACTGTGTAAGTAAAGTTCTACATTTTTTAATGGACGAATTGAAGCCCAGTTTGGCCTCAATTTATAACACAGTCACGATTTTCTTGTGTTGAGAATACAACTCTTATATAATAATCTACATAATTACAACTAAAACGTAATGTGTAGCTTTAACCGTGAGGTGACGGATTAAGAACACGGAGTTTAAGCCACCCCGATCCATCCCGTGGTTGTTGTAAGAGCTGACTAAACGAGCAAATTATGCAGGACAATAGCACTGCAAATAATACCAACCCGGAGGCCAAAGCCACCTTTATTTACATACGTATGCCTATATATTTCGTTTAGAGTAAATAGTTTCACTGTAAACGAAAAAGCTTATCTGAACATGTCTTTTAAGCTTCCCAATTTTGTACCGGAACATCAATCCATAAACAGACAGAATCATAGGTATACATAACAGTAGGTTATGGCCCAGGCTCTGCCTGCATGTATCAGTTATCGCGGTTAAAAATGCCTTGTCCTTTCTCAAGAATTAAACTATCTCCATGCCAAATTTGATCTAAATCGGTTCAGCGGTTATTGATTCTCCTTACAAACTTCCACACCCCTATTTACCCCCTTCATGGATGATTGCCGGAATAAAAACTATTCTATGTCCTTTCCCAGGACTTAAACTTATCTTTATAATAAATTTCATTTTAATCGGTTCAGCTGTTTAAGCGTAAAGAGGTAACAGACAGACAGAAAAACTTTCGCATTTATTATATTAGTTTAGGTAACTATACCTACAGTTTGTAATTCCTTAGCAGTTATTAAGCCTTTCGTATTACGCGTTAAAAAGTTACATAAACAGCCATATTAAATTAATAATTATGCCCAAGCGTAAGTAACAATTCGCAAGTTTTAATGATTACGTGCCTGTTGATTCAGTGGTTAGTGACCCTGACTTCTAAGCTAGATGTCGTAGGTTCGATTCCCACCTAAGATAAATGAAAGTAATTGTGTGATGAGCACAATCGTTCGTTTTGTGTCTGGGTGTTATCTATCAGTAATATGTATGTATTTAGAAATATATAAGTACTAGGTATTGCCCGCGGCTCCGCCCGCGTAAATGTTGGTTATCGCGGTAAAAGGTAGCCTATATGTTTCCTCGAGACTCAAAGTATGTTCATACGAAATTTCATGGAAATAGGTTAAGCTGTTATTGATTCCCCATACAAAATTTCACCCCCTTTTCACCCCTTAAAGGATCATTGTATAGGATAAACACTATGTCCTTTATCGGGACTCGGACTATCTCTTTACCAAATTTCTTGTAAATCGGTTGTTTTAACAACATTTTTTATGGGATTAAAAGAGTCACGCTTGATGGCGCTCTTTCTATTCTTAATTTAACTTTGAGGAAATGATCAGTGTTGCCATAGAGACCAAAAAAGGTCGAGTCTTTATTTATTTATTAAAAGTTTACCGGTTTATGAGGTTTAACTCTTGACTGTAGAAAACGACAGTTAATAACGCAGTTTTAATATAGTTTTGCTTTTCGGACTTCGACTATTAGCACTAAGAAGGAGAGGAGAATAGGTTTGATAATGCAAAAAAAATTACACGTTGGATTGGTAGACGTTTGAAAATTAATTTAGGTAATAAAATTTGTCTTCTTGTCGTGTCTGTTTAATTATTTTTCATGAGTTTTTAAGTATTTTATTACTAAGTACCTAGTATCACTTTGATAATATTTCTTTAAAACATGTTTATATGTGTATGTTAAAATTGAACGAAGAACGTTGAAGTATGTCAATACGATAAGAATTAGTTAAAGGCACTCCCCTATTTTAAGACGTAATTAAAGGATGCTCCCGTACGTGACGTCCGCACGAGTTACGTGACTGACATAAGCTCTGTCATGGCACGTAACAAAGATTAGTGCACATATTGATATAGCCTCCATCTACACATGCTACGTCCTTACCTGATTTCTGTATTATGGATATGATTAAGAATGAAATTAAATCACAATCACCACAGGCAATCATATGATTTATAAATCATATAATCGCAACTGTGACCAATTTACAAAACTACTGCGACTTATTATTATCATTACGCTAGCGCCAGACTCACGAAAGATCTAAATCTAAAAAAAAGTCGTAATCTTTTATAAAAATAATTTATTTAGATGGCATTTATCTTTGTCTATGATGAAATCACAATCACATGTGAAATCTCTGCGACTGAGACCAATCATTTCATTATATGATTGTGATTTAAAAATAGTAGTAGTCATTTCCGTCTATATGACTTTGACAACTGGGGCAAATTTAGTGCTGGTGTGGGGGCCAAATGTGTTAGTGCTTCGATCCTTAATATTTGATTAAGAACTCCCATTGTTAATTTGGCATGCCTTAAGTGTATTATCTGTTGTACTTACAGTTGTAAAGATTAGTTGTTTTCCCTGTAGTAGATTTGCTTTTATTTATTGTAATATATTTTCATTTACATAACTATCTATGTATAATATATTCAAAATAACTTAATATCTTGAATATAGTAGTTCCAAATATTTAGATTTAAAGTTAATAGTATTCGAGTTTGAACCTCCAATGCCTTAAATACAGAGAGCCTAATCAGTTAAACATAGACAGAGGGAACTGTCAAATTCAAACTCAAAATACATTTATTTTATTTAAAAAAAAATGTTTGAAATCGTCTCTTGTGTAGACTTTAAAATCATAGATCAACACACACAATAGCAACAATCTCTGTTTTATTAAATATTTAGCAAAATAAATAAATATGTATAGAAAATCTATAATATGCCTGTGCCGATCTACAACCGCCCGTTTCCAAGGGGTTGAGCCTTATGAGAAGAAATTGGGCATCCATCTATCTCTTTGTCTGTATCGCTTCCACTTACAGGCAGCTGTACCCCGTGTTCTCTCTATAGCTTATATATCTATGGTTATAGGGACATAAAGTTCTGTTAACCTTGCCTTTTTTTTTGCACATGAGACTAAAATCGAGGCAAAGGCAACAAACGAGGAACCCCATGTTCCCTCTGCTCCCTGGAAGTGAGCGCGCTTCGCAACGCGCTCGCCGCCACCCCGGCATGTTTCTGCTAGGGTGACAGATGGCCTCACCTGTCACCCCCAGGCCTGCGCTTATGGAGGACGGAGGTCGTTCTGCGACCTCCGGCGCCTGAGTCGCCTGCGGTACCTGGCCCGTTCCCGGGCCTGGCGGGCCAGGAGAGTTCTAAACCTCTCCCGGTCCCGCTCCGCCGTCTCCTTCGCGAGCATAACTTGCTCGCGAACTTAACCACCTAAATCCATTTTGTGGTCATAAATTCGAAATTTAAAAATTGTGTTTCAAAATTCGGAACATAAAAGCCGTGTTCCAAATTTGCAATATAAAAGGTAATCATAAATAGTTCACACAAAGATATGAAGAATCAAACTATTTCAGCTATTGCATCAGTTTCTCACGAAACAGAAGTAGGCAACAATTACTCAATACAAACATTATGATCATAACAATAGGAGTGAATATTATATTAATTAATATCCTCACGAATATTATGGACTCGATTTAGACATACATATTCTTGCAACTCATTCTCACATCTCATTTTTAAAGCCATTGTGAGATGTGATTTCATCAAAATTTTACTGCCAACTTTAATACTGAGGTGTGTAATAAATGTAATAATATAAATATTGTTTTATATGTGTTTGTTAATATTTGTTTTTATGCGCTTCTGTGCCGATTATTCAATTCCGTCCGAAGGGCACACTTTCCTTAAAATTAATATTTCTGTGGGGTGAAAAAAATACTTTCACGCACAACCCAACTATCAATAACACACGTCTTACTTGGATGGTGGTTCATCAACAAAATATATAAAAAAAATACTGTGGTACTATATATGTGGTGGCCAAAATCAAAATTCTAAATTAAAAAAAAAAACTATCTTAAAGTACACTCACTGGGCAGATCGAGGTTGTGGGACCCTTGTCTTAATTTGTAGCTTTAGATTTTTATTTCCGTTCCTTTTTTTTTTTTTTTTTTCCGTGCGGAAATCCCCTCGGATACTGTCGGTGGCATGTCGGACTCGAACCGACTAAAACCGCACGCCGTCTCGGGTACTAATAGCCGGGGAACCAGGTATACCCTAGAAAGGAAGTCCCTGGTGCCCGTTCCCTGGGAATTCGCGAACGATCAACAGTTAGTAATCTTTATTAAATTTAGAAGACTACCTCGCGTTAAACTTATTTTTCTTTCACTCGGAAACAGTACTCGGTTTCTGCTAATACAGATCTTTGTCTGTACTCTTCGATTTCATATTACACGGTTCAGCAGTTAAGGCTTCTCGAAAGCAAAGAAAAATGCAATAACAACATACAAGGACAATAAAATCCCAAATAATCACACACTGATTTAATTAAGCATTTGCAAACTCTTCAGGCGTCGGCATGTGAGCTCGTACTCTGGCGAGTCTATCCTCGTCAAGATTGAGACTTTTCCGCTTACAAGCAATATCTTTCTCCAACTCGCCTCTGTACTTCATTAACTCCATTCTCACAATTTCCGCATCTCTTAGTTTATCATTTAGAGCTACAGCCGTTTCCTTAATATACTTAGATTCATCCATCAGGGCGTACTGTGCTTCATCGCGACAATTCTCCACACTCGGCCGATTGTAGTTACGGTTAAATAGTCTTGTCATTACTAACTTGTTTCTCGCATCTATTTGCCTCAAGGCATCCTTCAAATTGTCTATCAAATTCTCAATGTTAACGATAGTCTGCAAGTTATCTTTCAGAGTCTCCTCTAGCTTTGCGCACATCTGTTCCGTCGCTTCAACCTTTTCAGCTAGTGCAGCATTAGTTCTATCTGCCTGGAGTTTCATATCCTGAGAGCCATCTTGTATAACTGACCTCAGAAGACCTCGTAACTCAACCGATTTTTGTCTAACTTCCTCGCAGTTCTGAATGCTTTCATTACAATAGTGTTTCCAATATTCCAAAGAGGTTGCATTTTCCGGCCATCGAGCAACACCCGGATGGAACATTATCAGACTTGCATCACTTCCCATTGCTACGTTTTGAGTATCAACATTTAAAGTTACCATCTTGTCACACCAGTCGTATTCAAGACTAGACTTAGCTGATTTGTTCTGTTCCATTTGTCGTTCTACTTTCGCAAGAGTCACTTGAAATAAATTCCTGATTTCTCCTACTATTGCTACCTCTTTTATCAATTCTTGCTCAGCGTCATCTCTTACCATATCAGGTTCATAACGATGTGTTCGAAGTTCCAAGCATTCCCTCGATATTGCCTCAGGTAACATCAAAATTCTACATGCACCTTTCAACTTTGATCTGTCTTCATCTAAAGTATTAATTTCATCAGCCATAGCTTTGATAGTCTTTTCTGCCTTCTTCTTCCAATGAGCAAGATCTTTAGTTCGTTCCTGTAACTTTTGGTGGGCGAAAGCTTGTTTTTCATCTTCTGTCTTGAAGGCATTTTTCTTAAAGTTCTGTATAGATATATCAAGAGCTTTAGCTTTGTTAGTTGCAGTAGGTGTTAATGTAAATTGGTTATTTTTTCTCCACTCTCCCGTTGAATAGCGTGTGATAGAGTACTTATCAACAACCGGTCTAACGCCAGTCATGCCTGCTTGTGGAGTCCAGTCTATATGACCAGCAGCCCAGGGCCCGACCGGTGACATGCCGAGCATATCTCCACTAGTAGTATCTGTAACTTGAGGCAGATACTGAGGCGGTGCATCAGAAGGGATGTGTTTTTTCTCTGGTGGTTGAACTAGGCCAGGAGTATAAGGCGAAGCAAAGGGATTCGATGCAGTACGAGCGCTACCAGCGGCCTGAAACTTCTGTTCTTTTGTAGTCGCCTTCGTTATCGGACATATGTGAGGGCAAGTATTTTCGTCCATTTTTACTAGAATTTAGTGTCTTGTTTTCTATATACTATATAATATTAATAAATAAAGAAACTACTTATCTATGTAAACCTCGGCACTAAAATTGATATATAAATGTCATTTTATTTTGACAGACATTTAAGAAATGTACCAATTTTTTTTTTGGTATTTGTCAATGTCATAGATATAATATAACCTTTTTAGGTTTTAAAGGGCTGCTAGTAATATAACTGTAGGTAATTCCTTTGATTTCTGAGGATGAATTCTTTCTGTAAGATGGAAGTAGGTACTTTACATGATACTGTCTCCGACTCATCATGTTAAGGGGCCAAATAGAGAACTAACAACAATTCCCTGTCAGTGACGGTGTGATCAATTGCAAGTGTTCTTAGTAGACATGGGACAAAATCACAGTGAACTGTGATTTTTCATTCGATTTTTACGTTTTCCAATCGTAATCCTATTTCGTCGTAAATCTAGTATTTTTATCATTATTATGTAGGGAATGGTAGCTATATATAACAAAATAATGATTAGATTTAATGTTAAATATGCGAATAAGGGTCTTTATGCATCGTCTTAAAACAGCTTATTTTCAACAACGCGTGAGTAAGTAGTAACCCTACGTGAAAAATCTAATGATAAATCACCGGTCTTTCACAGTTCACTGTGATTTAGTCCCATGCCTAGTTCTTAGTGATTTCATTCCATTTTTGTGTTAAAAGTTTGTTGTATGCTGAATGATGTTTCTGAGTAGAGAGCGTCATATTTGTAGAAAATTAAACATAATGAATATGGATTTACTAACCCATAATTTATTTAGACGTAATCATTTTAGCTCAACCATTTTTTAAATCTTAAAACGGCATTTAAACTGTTTTACTCGGTTTCGTTTTTTTTCTTTTGTTTTTAACTTATCTATGTTTTGGTATTTCCGTCCCTCCAACTCCCATCCCTCTACTTCTAAGGGGGGGAGGGGGGGCAAGCGGAACCGCACTTGTGTCTATCAAGTTGTAAGAGCCCATGGACAGGGTTGGTTACTTACTTATTCATAAACAGTCTTAAAAAGGCTGATGGCACGGATGGCGTAGTGGTTTAAGCGGTCGCCACACCGCTTCCTACTTCACTGAGTTCGAAACCCACATGGGACGACACTCTGTGTGATCCACAAATTGTTGTTCTGAGTCTGGGTGTTCTTTGTGTCCGTTTCATGTATGTTTGTAAAGTTTCTCGCTACGCAGGATATATTCTTAATGCGGTACTTGTCCTTTAAAAAAAAAGGGTGAGCTCACTCGGTGAAAAGTAATAAAATAATTAGCATATGCGCTACTGTGCTGAGGTCTCGGGTTTTCGATGCTTGGGTCGGACTAAATGTTTGTATGATCTACAAATATTTGTTTCGGAGTTTGGGGGTTTTCTATGTATAATATGTGTATATTAAAAAAAAAAAGTATATAGGTATTCTATGAGTCAATCTAGCTTTCTTAGTACAAGCTCTGCTTAGTTTGAAAATAGATGGCATTGTGTGTGATGACAAAAAATCTGTGATTTGATGCAAATTGAATGAATAAAAACCTTCCGGTGAAATATCGCTGTGCGGACGGACCCTAACAGCGGTTTTCTGTGAGATCGTTTTATCACTCCAGACGAGTTGGTCACTATGTACAGAAACGTGGCTTTCCCACGGTTCATATCAAAGGTAATACGGAAGTTATCTCATGGAAACGAATACCCGCCAAGTGCGAGTCGGACTCGCGCACGAAGGGTTTCGTACCATCTATAAAAACGGCAAAAAAATCACGTTTATTGTATGAGAGCCCCCCTTAAATATTTTTTTTATTTTAATTTGATTATTTCTTTTTAAAGTGAATCATCATCATCATTATCAACAGCCTTTTACAGTCCACTTCTGGACATAAATATTCTGTGAATGTTTCAAACTTCTACCTATTACCGTTATCAATATCGAGCAAAAAAATTACGTTTGTTGTATGGGAGACCTTAAAAATAAATATTTAAGATATTTATTTTATTCTGTTTTTAGTATTTGTTGTTATAACGGCAACAGAAATACATCATCTGTTAAATGTTCAAGTGTCTAACTATCGCGGTTCATGAGATACAGCCTGGTGACAGACAGACAGACAGACGGACAGACAGCGAAGTCTTAGTAATAGGGTCCCGTTTTACCCTTTGGGTACGGAACCCTAATTAAAAGAATAGCCTTCCATGACTGGCACAAAAACTCAAAGAATTTAACTTTATTTTACAATAGGATTCCCACAGCTGACGTGATATAATGTTGCCAAGTCGATGTTTCATTTGCAACTCAAAAGTCACAAGTGCTTTGCCGCCCTTGGAGTTCCTCCCGCTCGAGTCGGCGGGAGGGGGGATTTGGGCTTCTTCATAACCACTAACCCGACATCTGGATATGAACGTGTTTATATTTATTAAACAGTTTGCAACATGCACATAGAATCTTTTCTATCAACCTAGTGTGAGGGTCCCTACTTACTGACAAAATTATATAATATAATCACATCACATCACATATCCACAGCCTCTAATAGTCTACTGTTGGACGTAGGCATCTCCTCAGAAAGGAGGTTTTGGCCTACTATACCACGCTGGCCAAACGGGTTGGTATAGGGTTTGTTTCAAGTTTTCCTTCTTCAAGCTTCCTTAGTCGCCTCTTACGACACCCACGAGATGAATAGGGGTGGTGACACTCTGTATTCTTAATCCGTCACCATATATAAGTTCGTACTAAATTTGAAATTCTCAAAAAAAAAACTCATTCAAAGCATAATTCGTAAATTTATTTACGTAAAATATGATTATGCCATTCATTATCATGATAGGGCAACACTGATGCGAACTTTAAACAATACTGAGATCTTTTGCATGTAGCAACTTCTTCCCATGCAGGCTAACGGTAGAGGGTAGTTACATGTAATTGATAGCGATGGTATCAGAATATACAAAGGCTACATTCATTTTAGATAATATCTTTAATTTACACGTTTTAATAAAAACAAATGGCAAGATAAAGAACAGGTCTGTAAGAAACCTTAAAGTAAGAAGGAAAATCATATAATAATTTATGTCGTTCATTTCTCTTTAGTCACATTTTATTCATCATCATCATCATCAGCCTATCGCAGTCCACTGCTAGACATAGGCTTCTCCCATTGCACGCCACTTAGATCGATTTTGGGCTTCTCATATTTTATTATCTGTTCAAAATAAATCCTACACACAAATTGCCTTAAAACCCTAGATAACACATATTATTGTCCGCTAAATAACATTACAACCTCGTTGCATTTTGCAGTTTCAACAAAAACTGCGCTATTAATGTATTCCTAGCATAAACTAGCCGTATGCTAATTATACCTCGTACATAAACGCATTGCCAACAATGTGTAAGAGTCACGAAATCGTAACGCGTAATGCATTGTCGTAAAAACTATGTAATCACACTACTAGGGGAACTATCAGTTTACTAAACTCAACTCTTACAGAAACAGCACTTTTCGCAATCGGATCACTGAATCGAAAGACAACACTTTTCAATGTTTATGAAAGGCCTATCCATCAATACTCTATACTATGGAATAGCCAAGAGAAAAAAGTAATTCCAACTCTACTTCTAGGGGAGGTACAATAAAAAAGTATTTACTAGGCTTACCCCTGTATCATAAAAAAAGCCTCAAAGTTAAGTCGCGAACTGACGGCCTGACAACAAGACGAATATGGCTAAGTAAGGGTTCCTGGATAAGTTATATGGTAAGTAAATATGCAGATTAGACTCGATTTGTAAATAATATTAAATTATATACTTACAACCTTGTGTAATTTCACACTGTGACTAAACATAAACATCAACAAAGTACGAGTGAAAGGAGGCAATAAATAATATAATAGGTACTCAAACCATGCTATTTGTCTAAATTACTAAATACTTATGTAATCATAGATTACGTCTCCACACTTCACGAAAGGATGCTTCGGTTCCGGTAGTTGCCTACAAGGCCTTGTGACGGTGTAGCATTTTAATGATGGTTTAGTATAAACATTAAGAAAAATAACACCAGATTAGGTACAAACATTTTTTTTTATTAGCATAATGTAACTGTACTCGGCCGTGGATGTTGAAGTTGGCCGTCGTGAGCTTACGAATAAACTAATACTACCGTGGAAGAGCAATGTTTCGACGCATACCGGTGACACAGACAGAATGATAGCAGGTTGTCACAGGAAACTGGTGTTATGAAATTATTTTGTTACTTTTTATATTGTATAATGTTGGCTCGAATTGTGATATGTGACGAAAAGTGGATTGTTTACGATAACCGTAAGCGAAAAATGCTATTGCTGACCCTAGGTCAAACGTGGCCTAAAGCAAAGCTTACCTATAAAAAAGTAATGGCACAACTGTTTTGTGGTCTCTTCAAGGTGTTATTTACTATAGCTTTCTCAGGGCTAGTCAGGCAATAACAGCGGATGTTTATTGCAAGAACTACGAACAATGATGGCGAAACTGGCACTGAAACAGCCCAACTCGTGAATCGATCCTCACCATTATTGCCCCATAATAACGCAAGAAAGACCTCACAATGCACGAGAAACCGTTAGGATTACAAACGGTACAGGAGCTTCAGTTAGAAACCATACGTCATCCTCCATACTCGCCAGCTGTTGCTCCAATGGACTACCATTTTTTTTGAACAAACTAAAATTTTCTTCCCAGGAGGCAGTACAAAATGCTTTTACACTGTTTATCGAACCTTGATCCCCAGAGTTCTATCGTAAAGGCATTAACGAACTTCCGTTTAGATAGCAGCAATGTATAAATAATGAGGGTAAATATTTTGATTTAATAAATATTCAGTACAAATCGGCAATTTCATAAGTTAAACCCCTAATATTTGCCTGGATGTGTGGATCCATACCTGACCGTGTAAACAATTTTAATAAAGACTGTAAACTTTTGTAACGTTTATAGTTACTTGATTTCTTATTTATTTTTTGCACATTTCAGATCGGAAGAAAGAATGAAATGAAATGCGATTGTCGACATAATACAGTTTGAAGACGCAATTTTGGTTATGTAAGAAAAGTCTAATAAAGATAAAACCGCACTAAAAGCTTACAACTAACATACTATTTCTATCTATCTAATTCTATACACTATAACCCAGGCCTTTTAAACCAGCATTCAAAGTTCTATCCTTGCTTTAATTTTTATTTAACCCGTATAAAAGCCGTATAAAATAGGATTTATTTATCAAGAAATATTAATACACAAAGTCTAACCGAACAAAGAAATAGTTCACATCAGTATCCAGCGAGTTCAGATGCAGAGGGATAGTGAGACCGAATCATTCCACATCTCTCTCTGTCGATGTTTAGCGTCTTCCTCTTAGATGCTATATCTCTCTCTAGTACAATCCTCTTTTGCAGCAAGTCACGTCTCACTCTCTCAGCATTCCGCAGTTGTCCAAGAAGAGAAGTGACAGTCTCGTGAATCTTCTTCACTTCTTCAATCAAGCCTAGATGGGGCTGATCCCTAACACTCTCACCATGGGGTCTTCCAACATTTCTATTGTAAAGCCTTGTTTGTGCAAGTTTCATAGCTGCATCCATTTTTTTTATGGAATCTTGAAGATTTCCAATCAAAGCTTCCATATCAGCGATCTTCTGTAACGTTGTTCTCAGTAGCTCCTCGAGTTTAGTACATAGTTCAGACTGAATCGCTACAGTTTCTGCTAAAGCTATATCAGTTTTATCCGCTTGGTTACGTAATTTTCTTCCATTGCTTACCAAGATGGCATCGAGGCTGCCCCGCAAATCTGCAGACTTTTGACGAGTAGCTTCGCAATTTTCAACTGTTTCTCGGCAGAAAAACTCCCAATACTCTAACGGTGCTGTATAATCTCCAAACTTTGTAGCTCCAGGTTTGAACATTATGGTGTTAGATTTTGTTGTGAGACCTAAATTTTCAGACTCAGTATTATAAGCCAAAGCCTTGTCACAAAAGTCGTATTCAATCTTTTGCTTGGATGCTTTATTGATAGCCATTTGCTCTTCTATACTATCTAAAGTATTCTTCAAAGTAGCTCTCACTTCTTGTACTAGCTTATTTTCCTTAAGTAGTTCCTGTTCAGCAAGATCGGCTACCAAGTCCGGTGTAAAGCGGTTGGAGCGCAGGTCCAAGCATTCATTTGTGATCGATTCTGGTAACATCAAGACTCTAGAGGCACCTTTAAGTCGCTGTCTATCTATTTCCAATAATTCCACCTCATGAGTTATAGCTTTACAAGCTTTCTCTACTTCTACTTTCCATCTAAATATGTCTCTAGCTTTTTGCTTTAATCTGTTATTGTTATCTAATTGTTGTTTATCGACATTACCAAATGCTTGCATCATGCAAGTCTTAGCGTTGTAGTCTACAATGTTGGATTCATTTATTATCTCAGGATCAAGTACACTCTCATTATGTTTTCTCCATTCGTTGAGAGAATATCTGCTGATAGAATACTTGTTCACGCTGGGTCTAGTACCGGTCATACCCGCAAGAGGAGTCCAATCTACCTTTCCATCTGGTCCTGGTTTTAGTTTCGGTAGGTATTCATTACCTGTCGGTGGTGGCCCCAAAGTTTCTGGTGGATTTTCTACAGCGTCGACTGGCATTTCATCAACTTTTTTCATCTCCTTTGCCTCTTGGTCTTCTTTAGCTTCTTGAAGCTCTGCCAATGCTTTTTCAGGAGTTTTCTTGGCTTTCTTGAAAGCACCTTTGTCAGTGCAAATTTTAGGACACAAATCATCTTCGGGAAAAGTAGTAAGTTGTGCAGCCATTTTGAGAGCTTAGTATGTTATTTTAACGTTTTGTTGAATGAAAGAATCCAAATAATTTAAAACTAAGAAAAACATAAAAATAAAACCCAATCTTTTTCCAAGTAACAAAACATGACAATTGAGTTAAGAAAATTACTTCTTTCAACCACAAAGTAAAGAGAGAGAATATTAGCAAAAAAGGTCATAGGTAATATTACCTATGACCTTTTTTGCTAATATTCTCTCTCTATACACTCACTTAAACACGCGTCCCTACCTGTTGCTTTCTAGGTCAGTTTTATCACTTCGTGAATAGCGTCGATAATTCTATTTTTATGTTGAGTTTGACGACACTCAAACACATAAATAAAATTTAAGCCGTCATCTAGCGTAGATAAGCCAATGCAATGAGAGTTCTCGCTCTTGTGTAGAAAAACTTTCTAAGATTCATCGTTGATCATTTAAAAGCCATGATAATTTAGTCTGGTCCATAGGAATCTCTCTTAATATTCAAGGTAAGTCTGGGAATTGCGTTGCGTTTCCAACCACCTGACCATGCCTTTTACATGAGATTAAGGTAGCGAAGCGCGTAAGCTGAGCCAAAAAAAAGAATATGTGCCCTTGCTCAATAAACTCTTATGAATAAAAATACAACACTATATTATTAGTAGATACTAAGAAGTAGTTTGTTGGGCGGCATGAGCGTGAACAACGGTGTTAAACAAGTCTTTCGTTGCTTTTCACCGGAAGAGTAAGAATTCTGGTGGAGGTGGGCAGTAATAGAGTGGTAATGCACTTGTGTTTCTATCTTGAAGGTGTGCATGGGCAGCGCTGTCAATAAAAATCAGTTGATCCGTCTGTCTGGACCGACTGGGTGAGATCCGCAAAGGGATGGGAGAGCTGCGTGCGCACGGGAAGCTGCGTGTTTGACGGTATCCCACAGTCTGCCAACAGGGAGAGATGGCGGGAGATTGTACGAAGGGCTGTGTCCGCCTCTACCGCCGACGTGAAAATCTCAATGTGATCACGACCGCTCTGCCAAGAGCGACACGACAAAGTAGAAGAAGACCCTTCAGTCCCCTATTCCGAGCAGCAGTAACCTGTTTTTGAAGACCATAAAAATAACACATAAAATCATTTCAGAATGTATAAGGCTTAAGATACCACATATAAAGAAGAATTTGCTAAATTGTATAAAATGTTGATCAAAATTAAATTGTGCGTCAAATAATTTACAATCCAGAAAGCTCGGAAGCAGTGGGATAATAAGACCTAATCAATCCACATCTTTCTCTATCAATGCTTAGGCTCTTCCTTTTAGCTGCTATCTCTTTCTCTAGTTCTAACCTCTTTGCCATAAGTTTCTTCCTAGTTTTTTCAGCATTCTTTAATTGTGCAAGAAGAGACGCAGCAGTTCCATGAATAACTTTCACCTCATTTAATAAACCTATATGGGGCTTGTCTCTCACATTTTCGCCATGAGGCCTTCCGGTATTTCGATTGTCTAATCTAGTTTGCGCCAATTTCATAGCTCTATCAGATTTCAATATACAGTCTTGAAGATGTTTTATCAATAATTCAACCTCTGCTAGCGACTGTAACACGTATTTAACATGTTCTTCCAGCTTTGTTACTAGTTCAGAGGTCAGAGCTATAGTCTCAGCAAATGCTTTATCAGTTCTGTCCGCTTGATTACGTAAGTTTTTTCCATTGTTCACAAGAAGACTGTTTACAGTGCTTCGGAGATCTTCGGATGTTTGGCGAACAGCTTCAACATTTATAATGTTATTCCTGCAGAAATATTCCCAATACGATAAAGGCGCTGTAGCGTGGCCAAATTTTACGGCTCCATGTTTAAACATAATTGTATTTGAATTAATACTAAAGCTCAAATTGTTTGCTTCATTAGCATAAGCCGTAGTTTTATCGCACCATTCGTATTCTATTCTATGTTTAGCTGCTTTATCGATTGAAAGTTGTTCATCTATTTTACCTAATGCAGATCGGAAAAATTCTCTCACTTCAGAAATTAATTCCATCTCCTTTTCTAGTTCTCGCTCTGCTAAATCAGCTACTAATTCTGTTTCAGCCCTGCTCGAACGTAATTCTGAGCATTCTTTAGATATAGCTTCTGGTAATAATAACGCTCTACAGGCATCTCTTACACGTTGTTTCTCCATTTCAAGTAATTTGACTTCCTCGGCTATTGCTTTACAGGCTAGCTCAACTTCTACTTTCCATTTGTATAATCCTTTAGCATTGTTTATTAGTAGATTAGTATCTTTGAGTTGCGCTTGGTCCATATTACCAAAGGCTGCATTGATAGTTGTCTGACCGTTATAGTTTAAAATATGAGAGTCAGATATTACCGAAGAATCTAACATCTTCTCGTTATGTTTTCTCCAGTTACGTAGGGTATATCGCTTTATAGAATGTTTGCTTACATTTGGACCAATTCCTGATAGTGCTATTATATCGGCATGATCCATTTTTGTATCGCTATAGGGATTTCCTTGCATCACAAGGTCTTGCTGCTTGTTAAAGGCTTTTTCAGTACCCTGTTCCTCACTATCTTGCCCAAAATTGATTTTGTGTACGACATTTTTCTGATCAATTACTTCTTGGTTTTCTATATCCTTGACTTTCACGAAACCTCCTTTATCGTAACATTTATCTGGACACTGGTCACTTTCGGAAAAGGTAAATAATTGTGACATTATTATTAAAAAACCTGGAGAATTTTAGAAAATTGTATAATAAGTAAACAACGGTCAAATACTAACAGTAATCAAGTTTTTTTTGCTTTTATACAGCCTACTGGATAAACCTTTTTTTAAATTACCTATAGGCCTTTTTAAATTGCAATGAGGTATTATAGTATACCTATTGATTTCAGTCGGACTGTAATCTGTAGGACTCTTGGTTGGATGGAATTAAATAGGAGCAGTTTAAATATTTTATTTAAAAAAAATACTAGAAACTTAGATCACACATTTAGACGGATCTGTTAGTTTTGTGGCTAGTAATCTAACTGCTAAGAAGGTCGTGGGTTTGACTCCAAACCAGGGCAAATAATTGTGTGATGAGCACGATAATTTGTTTGTGAGTTCTTGTCGGTGATGCACCGCAATGCAAAAATCATTATTTAAGAGGTTGAAAAGTGGGTTTGAAATTTGTATGGGGAATCAATAACCGCTGAACCGATTTAGATGAAGGTATGGAGATACTTTGATTCTTGAGGCAAGACATGGACTTCTTTAACGCGCTAACCGACATTTACGCAGCCGTGGGCAAAATTACGTTGATAATTGGAACATTGCAGTTCATTCCTATTCAAGTTTAGATCCTATGGAAAGTAGGCTCTTGGTATTTAAAAAAATATATTTTATTACCGCCACTCTGTTTAATAAATAATAGCTGCACTAGCTACCTCCTGCAGAAGGCAATGGTTTATTGTTAGTATTAAGAGTATCGTACATCAAGCAGCAAACACTTTGTTAGTTTATGAATAACGGACAGACACACTTCACACGGTGTCATCACATAATAATTACCGATATTCTCATAAAACAGTTATATACAATGATCTTATCTTGTCTGGCTGAATAATATACCATAGACAATCTTTACAAAAAAAAAATGTCTATTAGTAGGTCGTACCTTCTAATTTTAAATTTTATTTCCTTTCATCTTTAAATTGACAGAGATTCTCGATAAAACTGACTATGCCAAAAGTTTTTTTTTAAGTTTATTTATTTATTTATTTATTGGGTTAACTCACAGCACATATATGTAACATTAATGGTAAAATCTCAGTAATAAGGTTCTGATATACATGCCACTTACGAGCTAACACAGCATTCACAGTTTAGACAACATATTAACAAAATCACATTGATATATAGGTATTACAAACTTAACTCTATTGGTCTGGTGAGTTTCGTTTACACTGAAATTTTATTGCGGATTGTTACCACTATTATTATTTTATGTATTATACAATATACATAGAACATCTACAATTGCTTTATTTATTTTTTATTTTTTTTTTAAAAGACAACTCCCGCATTAGGAATAAATCCTGTGTCGCGGGGGACTTTACAAACATACATGAAAACGGACACAAAGAACACCCAGACTCAGAACAACAATTTGTGGATCACACAAAGTGTCGTCCCATGTGGGGTTTGAACCCACAACACTCGGCTAGTAGGAAGCGGCGTGGCGACCGCTTAAACCACTACGCCATCCGTGCAGTCAGTGCTTTGAGCAACTACATGAATAAATAATGCTCTTTAATACATAATTATACTCTAACGGCGTATATTTACATGAGATGCGTAACTTCAATGTCTGTTGTTATTATATCACAGTCAACTTTTACTTTTATGAAGCCATATTGGATGTAGAAGCAATATCACTGTATATGCGCACAATAATTATATTATACTAGCTATTGTATGCGGTTTCGGTCGTGTTAATGTAGGTTTTGACAATAATTTCAATTCCAGTTGGGATCAGTGCTTTATTTCTGGACTAGCTGAGACCTGCGGTGTTACCCGCGTTTGTTGTTATAACCGCAGGCAACGCCGCGGGCCGAAGCTAGTCTAAAAAAAATAGCCTAAGTGACTCCTTATGTCATCAGCTATCTGCTAGTGAAAGTCCCGTCGAAATCGGTCCAGCCGTTCCAGAGATTACCCGGAACAAACAGACAGACAGACAGACAAAATTCGTATTGGCATATGTACCGTGTAAACATACATATGCATTTAGTAAAAAGCGGTTATTTTAATATTACAAACAGACATTTGTATAGATGTATAGATAAAAGCTACCGTTTGTTTCTGTATACTTTAAACGTAACAAATAAACAAAATTTCCATAAAACGACCATTAAAAAGACAGTCCTTTTCTCGGATTCAGGACATATTGTAACCTCGTTGTCGATAAATCTTAGTGCGTTTGCCAAGTCACTGTATTTAAATAATTTAAAAAGTATAATACATACTGAGATGGTTACTACGTAATGTTTTTAGCTTACTAAACAAGGTATCAATGACAACGTGGTTGGAGGACTGCTGCCATAGATAAGTAGGTATTGAATTAACCCACTTGGTTTACATTCCATTTCACAACTTTTTATGACAGAAGAGCTGCTGTTATATTTTTAATGTTATACAAATAAGTTTACAGACATACAGGTTCAGGGTTATTTATAATTTTATACATTTTAATGAACATATAATAATCTGTATGACTAGTGGAACTAACGATGTTCATGGGGTACGGATATCACTAAAAAGCAAAAATCCACAGGTTCAATGTTTGCCTGTTGTATTTTAAAATGTTTTTTTTTTACTGGCAATTTAATGTATAAAAAATTAATGTGGCCAGCTGAAGCCTCGTTCCTAGTGGTTTCTCTAAACACAGGACGGTCATACCGGTACGCGACTCCGGCGCCTTTTGCCTTTGTCCCGTCTAGAAATGATTAGCGTCTCAAGGGTTCTTGTCATGCCAGTGGAAGGAAACAAACGAAACCAGCTAAAATCCTTTGCAATCTTAAATATTGCATGCAATGACCTTCCTAATAAAATTAGATAATGATGATGTATATAAAATAACAAGAGAGCCTTGCGTAGTGCTTCAAGCGGACGCCACGGCGCTTTCCACTACGCCGAGTGTTGTGGGTTCGATCCCCACACGGGACGACACTTTGTGTGATCCACAAAATGTCGTTCTGAGTCTGGGTGTGCTTTGTGTCCGTTTCATGTACATAAGTAAAGTCTCCCGCGACACAGGATATATTCCTAGTGCGGGAGATGTCTTTAAAAAAGAAAATTACAAATAAAACCTTTGTTATCTCTTTTTAATTACCAAACTACTCACAGATAGGCAGATTTCTATTCATCAATTAGCATGATGTTAGAAATGTGTAGTCCACTGGTTGTAAGTTTTTTCCGGTCACGTAGCGGTTTAGTGAACTCATGAGCTCATGAGGTCACACGTATGAGGCTTCGTGTGCTGCCGTGTGATATTATGTTAACATCTAATATGGCCGTCTCTTGCGCCTCAATGAATGCTTTCAATGAAAATAAAGGGCAATGTTTGTTTAAGTTCTTGATTTGGATGTTATAAAAACATTGTAGTATGTTTATAAAGTGTAACGGATTGAGACTTGGGTCTATTCTTTGATTAATAGTGCATAGGACGTAACCTTCAAGTTTACAAATTGAACCCCTAAAATATATATACTAAATATTTTGAAAAAAAAAATTTGTATCTTGAATACTCCATTGTTACACCATTTGTCACAATGTTTATGCAAATAAATATGATTCTGATTCTAAAGCAATAATACTTAATTCCGTAAGTGGTCCAGGTGGATCCCAGTAGTCCACGGGAGACTAGACGGGAGTATATATTGATTTCCATCGTTTGATCAAATTTTTCAAATTGACTATAAGGCAGAGGTTGTGGGTTCCCACCCAGGACTAATATTGTATGATGAGGACGATCATTTGTTCTGTGTCTGGGTGTCATTTATCTAAATATAATATGTAAGTATTTAGAAATATATAAGTATTAAGTATGTTTATTGAATTAACTCCTCTTGTTAAGTGGGACTTAAATTTTGGTCGTTAAAATGTAGACGTTTAATATACCCCCCTGCCCCATGCCTTGTCTGCCCCTTCGTAAATAAAGGCTAAGAGTATCTTTGTATGTTTGTTATTTTAACAATAGTAGGTAGGTTATGACCGCTGCAAACGACCCGAGACAGGTGACACTCCGGTCCGGCCGGGGTGTCGTCTAAGGAAGGGCGCCTCGCCCCGAGGGTGACTATGACCACCCCGGGATGTGCCTCAGTCATGGCGTACAGCAGGGAGGACTCCAGTAGCCGCCGATGTGTTCCTGTAGCTAAGGGAGTTCCACACACGCCCTCCATTTCCCCAACGATGCAAAAAGTATTTCCCTCGTAAAAAAAAGTGAACCACGCCTATACATATAAAATGGACAATCGCGCATCATACGGAATTTTTGTTGCATGACAAATAAGTTGTTTTACCAGTTTTATTAATGGGATCTCGTTCACTTCGGGTAAAACGCTTGCTAATTCGATTTAAATGCTATGTCGCAATTATAATATCGAAATGGTTAGTGGTCATAACTTGTTAAATGGCAATCAGGGCAGGTTTATGAAGGTTTTTTGTTTTTTATGGTATAGGTCAAATGAGAAGACGGGTCACTTGATGGTAAAAGTCTACCGCTACTCATGGACATATCTGCAAGTCAAGAGACACGGTTCTGAGACTAGACTAGCTCCAGTATGTATATGTAAACACTAGTGTGTGAATCCTGTCGGGTGACTCATAATAAAAAATCAGAACTATTTTATTAAAATGTTTACTGGGTTTGGAATCGTAATTACCATCACAGATACCCTATATTATATGTTTTTTTTTTATTTATGGTTCATCAACAGTTACAGATATAATACAGGTAGGAATATTCAAGTGTGTGTCTTAAATCTAACTGCACAACCATGTTTGTTACATAATTTTAAAACTTATTAATTTAACTTATATATTAGAAAATACTTTAAATTCCAATGACTAAATCACATTTTCATACGTCTGACGAGTCTGACAACCTTCGATATTGAATCAGGGTGGACATCAACCAGGCTGCTACGTTCGTTTATAAGTTTGGACATGCGTGGTATAGACGAATTAACACCAAACTACACTGTATGGCGAAGAGGTGGATCGCGGGGTGTTAAAGGTTTACGAGGTCGTCTGTGGGGTACTCTGAAGATGTATTTTTTTTAATAATTGTGGGCAGTCAATAATGTTATTAAATAGTTTATAAGCGAATCTCAAATCCAAGAGCTCCCTTCTGCTTCCAGGGTACTCATTTTGGGTATCAGTTGTAAGAAAACTATAGCGTGAACCAGATGATCGATTCAACGCCATCTATCGAATTCTATATCAGATATGTGACTTGTTTCACAATTTTCTTATACATATATGGAATTCTATCATCATTATTCATATTATAACACATATAAACACTTATGTATTTATCAGCAAAGGGGTAGGGGTAACCTTAATGTTGATAAATACGATACTTTTGTACAATAGATCTTCTACTATTAATATGTTTATCACAAAATCTATCTGATAGTCTTTTGATCACCCATGGTCTTCAGTATTACAGCAACCGTCATTATCAACAGCCTCTAGCAGTCCACTGCTGGACATAGGCTTATTCTTAGAAAGGAGGTTTTGGCCTACTATACCACGCCAGACGAGTTTGTATCGGGTTTATTTTAAAATTTCCTTCTCTTTGCAGAGCTGTTTTTCTGTGTTATTTGCTCCCTTAGTCGGCTCTTACGACACCCGCTTGATGAATAGGGGTGGTGACACTTCGTAATCTTATTTCGTCACCACACGGACACAACAGAAACAGCAATCTTATAAGTTTTTAAAAAGGATCAGATTTGAAAAGATTATTTATTTTGTTTACAAAACGGTTATTTCGCTAATACCATTAGTAATCTTATAGGGCTTCTCGTATTTTGTGTAACAGACACTAAGGGAACGTACCCATACCACGTGACACAGTTTTACCCCCACTTCCCTTTTCACGTTGTAATTCATAAACACGGTTTTAAAATATTTTGATAATTTGGTCATAATAGCTTTTCATCAACAGCCTTTAATAGTTCACTGCTGGACATAATAGCTTTTGATCGCGTTAATTCTGGACGTAATAAATAATTATATGTATATGTAAGGAGAGGCCTATGTCCAGCAGTGGACTGTTCTAGGCAGTTGATGATGGTGATAATATGTATACATTTATAATCAGTATTTCATTCAGTGGAAGCCCTACTACTGAAGTCGTCAAACGAAATTTCAGACAACCTGACTGAGATTTTGCTTGCCATCTTTTTTAGGGCCAAATGGGCAGACGAGTAGACGGCTCACCTGATGGAAAGTGACTACCGCCGCCTATGAACGCCGGCCACTCAGGAGTCACACGCGTTGCCTCGTCCATATTTTTGGTTACTTAATTATATCTTAGCTTTTTTTATTTGTTTTAAGTTATAATATACTATAACGCAGACCTTCGTTTAGCAGTGGACGGCGATAGGTTGATGATATTATTGATTATAATGCGAATAAATGAAAATAATGGATACTAGTATTGTTTCTATAGTTCATTAACAGCCTTAAATAGTCCACTGCTGGACATAGGCCACTCCTCAGAAAGAAGATTTTGGCCTATATCCGTGTGGTGACGTATTAAGAATACGGAGTGTCAACCCGTGTCACAGTCGTCAAGAGCCGACTAAGGAAGCAACTACGCAGGACAATATCACTGCAAAGGGAAGGAAAACTTGACATAAACCCTATAACAACCCATCCAGCTAGCGTGGTATAGTAGGCCAAAACCTCCTGGCTATAGTTACATCATCATCATCATCATCAACAGCCTTTAATAGTCCACTGCTGGACATAGGCCTCTCCTTAGAAAGGAGGTGTTGGCCTACTATATAGTTACATAAATGATACTCAATAAGTGGAAAGTTGGATTTGAAAGTTAAAAAAGTACTTGTGTAGGGCTCTAATTACTCAGAAATTTGCAAATGGCCGACATTCTTCTGTTTGGTTTAAACGAATGACGTTTAAAGCTGAGTCATTCCTGCAGTATTTAAATTTAGAACTGAATTTGTATTTAATCTTTAGCATTTTCGAATATACGTTTGTAAATTTGACTAAAATGAGTTTTTAACCAAAAACTTGACAGACGGACAACAAAGTGATCTTATAAGGGTTCCGTTTTTTTTTTTTTTTTTGAGGTACGGCACCTTAAAAAGGTAATAGGGCAACATAATACAAAACGCAGGTGAGTTTTCGAAACATTACTTTCAAAATTAATTAATGACCAGTTGTCCTCAATCACAATAGAACATGGCATAGATTAAATAAGTCATAACGTGGTATGTGGTCACACTGGCATTTCTTTTTTTTATATGGCAATTATATAAATTGAAATGCACTGATGACATATAAACGATTATTTTAAAATTTTATTGCTTTGTTATGAACTCAAGGATTTTCGCGCGTTTTATATCCGATTGATATTTAAACTAAAACCTATTTGATTTTTACTGCACATGCCACTAAATAATATGTCAAGGCGAGTGGGTATTATTGCTTTTCAATTCTTTTATATTTCTTTTTTAAGATGGAAAGAGAGATATGAATTCGTTTATTAATCTACAATACACTTTTAGCTAACAGCGTGATCAATGCCACTGTGTAATTCAATCATTCAAATACTATAACTATTTATTCAGAATCTGGTTTCAACACAATCATGATCTTTATTTACCCATTTTAATAATATGTATTTATTAGCTTTTGCTAGAGGTTTCCCTCGGGGCATTTAGCTATGTTATATGCTATGTATGTTTTTTTTGTTATACTCGTACATACATTTTAGTTTAGATTACTTACCTATGTATGTTCTATGTAAAATTATTTTATTAGAAATCCCCATCTAATACCTATTATTGAATATTAATACGTGGTTTATATAATGTATCAGTCAGCTAGAAAGGGCTATTATTTTGCCTTCTTGACGTTTGCTGTCAAGAATAAAAAAAACCGCCCCAGTGCGATTCGGACTCGAGTACGAAAGGTTCCATACCATTTTTTATAAAAAACGCCAAAAAAATCGTGTCTGTTGTATGGGAGCCCCACTTAAACATTTATTTTATTCTGTTTTTAGTATTTGTTGTTATAACAGCAACAGAAATACATCACCTGTAAAATTTCAACTGTCCAACTATCACGGTTTATGAGATACGGCCGGATGACAGACGGACGGACAGCGGAGGCTTGGTAATAGGGTCCCATTTTACCCTTTGGGTACGGCACCCTAAAAAACAAATCCTACTAAATATCAGAGAAGTAAAAATCACTACCTTCTTACTTAAAATATAGGTAGGTAGGTAGGTAAATCTTTTGTTTAACTTGTCCAATAATATTGACGTCAACTTTGTCATTATAAACGCCTTTCATTTTTGCCGTTAGCATTCGAAGGATGTAGTGTGTCTTGGAATCTAGCACCTGCTTCATGCAATCGCGCCGGATGTTCCAAGCTTGCATCCACCTGTCCATTCCGTAGACATAGTAGAAAAATGTGTATATCACCTACCTATGTAGTCGAATCTCAGCCGAGACTTGTTTTACGATCAGCCATATCAAGGTCGAGCGAAGTACCTTTTAGGCGCGTAAACTTTCACTGAACAATATTTATAACCATTCTCAATTCGAAAATATTCAAATATTTGAAACGTATTCGTTTTGTGTACCATAAACACATTTACCGCTTTTTTTAAGGCACTTGTTATTACAGCCAAATATAATTTTAAGTCTGTAGTTAGTTAATGACAATTAAACAATAGTCACGAACGTTAGGTAGGTATATTAGTGTTCTATTAGTTATTCCAGTAAACGTTAATTAAAATTAACAATAATTTAATTGATTTAACTTTTAGAGAAGGAATTTTCGAACTATAGGTACTTACCAGACAATATCTGTAGCCATCCGCAGATATGAAAAACAGTCGTAGATTGACAAAAGAAGAATAACAACATTGCACAGATGGTAAATAAGGCCAGGGCAACCGATGCACCCACTAACACAGTCGCAATTTTGAACACAAGTCCATTTATCGACAGGAAATCGTCTAATCTCCCCTTACAGTCTTCAAGAGCTTCATCTGCCCTGCATATTTGCCACAGTCCAAACTTTCTGGGGTACTCAGTCTCTAAGTCTCCGATCCATTCAGGTGTCACGAATGCAACGACGCTTATAATCGCGTAGCAAATCGTGAATATCGCCCAAAGTACACCGATAGCTTTCGAATTACGGACATAGTTCGTCGCGTACAAATGTGATGAATCCACGTACTCGATTTTTGAACCCATCTTGTTGGTTTAAGGTTGTTTACTTAACTTTTTTAAAGAACACTACACAAAAAACAAACCACAAGTTATTCGTAACACATTGTTTAGTTATAGGCCTTATGCGATTTTTGTCAAAGCTGATCGGTTTACGTTGCACTAATTCCATTCATATCTCAAAGGAAAAGTTTTATTGCAAAGTAGTCGAGGACGCGAGATACACGACACGGACACGGAACAGACGTAACACGAGCTGGCACAACCACTCGCCGCGCGCCATTCGGTTAAGTGAACAGAGGTGGGGATAAGCAATCAAGCTGCTAGTTTGACCTATCGCCTTTACGGACAGACGTGGTAACTTTTTTAGTTATAATTTTACTGTTATTTCACGCAAAGTACGAAATTTAATGGCACTTAGACCTAAATGACTTAACGGATTCAGTGAATCTAAAATTACAAAAGAAACATGACAATACTTAGAATTAGAAACGTGTTTTTATGAAAGTTTAGGATTTTCAATATTAGCGTCATCAATAGAGCCATCTAGACTTTGAAATGACTAACATTAAAATCCCAATGCCATGTGCCATCTAGCGGTCGAATTGCGAACTACGATGGTTTGTTTCCAATCATTTCCGTCAGAGGGTTCGATGTTTACATTGTACATAATCTATACAAATAAGTGTCTGTTTGTAATGTCAAAATAATAGGCTTTTTTTTATGCTCATACGGTTATTTGCACGATACCTATACCAGTTTTTTTTTGTCTGTCTGTCTGTATGTTCCAGTTATCTTCTAAACGGCTGCGCCGATTCTCATAATACTTTCATACCATCAGGTAGCTGTCTATATAAGGAGTAACTTAAGGTATTTTTTCGCTCAGAAAAAGCCTTTAAAATTTTGCAAGGTCCGGAAATCGAACCCGCTAAAGCAGCGCTTTTCAAATTTGAACGAAGTTGCGGTTACCAGCTAGTTCTGAATAAAACGAGTAAGTATGATCATCACGGTAAATCCATAATTCTTTACATAGTTTAAAATAAAGTCACTTTTATGTGTTGTACACTTAGATGTTTTAAACTAAGCAACGGATTTTAATGCGGTTTTCATCAATACATAGAGAGTGATTCAAGAGGAAGGTTTATATGTATAATAATACTATACAATCCAAAATCCGAGAATTTCAAATATTTGTCGTAAAAAACATGTCGTCCCTTATATTCGTCTAAAAATAAGTTAAGTTTTTTTTACAGTATAGAAAGCAAACAAGCAGACGGGTCAACTGATGGTAAGTGACTAACGCCGGTCACCGCCCTTTGTGTCTCCATGAATTTTGGGGGTTTGAGCCTCCTCACACACTCGGTGAAAAGCATCGGGCCCACAGAAAACCGTACCGGTTTTCTGTGGGCCGGTGGTAAGCAATCTTAACACCGGTTTTCTGTCTACTTATTTGGGTTCTATGTGCTATGGTGCACCTGTATGGGCCGATAGGGCGACCGTAGGCGCTGTCCGTCGCAAACTGTTACAAGGCCAACGACTTGCACTGATATTTTTGTGCAAGGCATATAGGACGGTTAGCACTGAGGCTTTGCCGGTGTTGGCGGGTGTGCTTCCGGTCGATCTCGAGGTGCAGAGACGTGCAGCCATGTACTATTCAAGACAAAACATGGAATGCGATTTCTTGGGCGCGCGGGATCGCGGTAAAATTACAAGATTGCTTCAACAGCAGTCCGATGTCTATAATGACCTCATAGACGAATGGCAGCAACGCTGGGACGAATCATCCAAGGGGCGCCATCTTTACCAATTTTTTCCATCTGTTCGCGAACGGTTGTCGAGGACATGGCTTGAGGTGGATCACTGTGTCGCTCAATTTCTTACGGGTCATGGTAACTTTAAGAGCAAGTTGTATTCATTTAAATTAGTCGAGTCACCATTGTGTCAATGCTCAACACCTAACTCTCATTATGAACAATCTGCTCATCATATCCTCTGGGAATGTAGTCTTTGGTATAATGAACGTAATATAATGCTGAATAGCTTGCAGGTGACATCTGGGGCGGTATACTATGGGGATCTTGTGTCAACTAGGGTGAATTTCCGTGCGTTTAGGCGAGTCTGCCATACATATTATAGAAATCAAATATAGCTCATGTAGGACCCGTAATATTTTGTGGCAGTGGTGCTTCCCTGTTTAAAAGGGTGTATGCCTATTTTACTTCATTTTGTCTCCCGCTTTGCTAAGGAGGGAAGTGGATTTACTGTATTTCCAACTCCTCCAATTTTCTTATGATTAATTTCGTTGCGGGTTCCAAGACAGTTTAATTTCTTCCTGGGACTTCCCGAGTGTAATAACTCGGTGTGTTCGTGGGTCACTGCTGTGGATCCTGGTGTACAGGAGTTACAGTGGTGAGCGTGTGGGTGGGATTAGTCCCAATAAAAGCCGTGGTATGGTATCACTCCGATAGAGCCGGCCCATGCAGCCCTTACTTGTAGAAGCATGGCTCTCCCATGATAAAAGTTTTTTATAATACTGATAAAATATTTCTAAAACAATAATAGTAAATTGCCGTGATGTGACCGATTAAGATTACAGAGTGTCACCACGGCTATTCTCCCGTGGGTGTCGTAAGAGCCGACTAAGGGAGCAAACTCTGCAGGACAATAACAGCACCGCAAAAAGAAAGAACATGAAACAAACCCAATACCAACCCGTCTGGCCAGCGTGGTATAGTAGGTCATTGTAAAGAGAGGCCTCTGTCCTCTGTTGATGATGAATAGTAAAATTCAATTGTTCAAATCAGTCATTCCATAATTTTTACGTAGGTATTAATTATTTCTGTAGCAATTTCTTTGAGTGGAGTGCAATTAAATTAACATCTTATATTTAAGAAGTACCTAAATACAAAAACTGCACTAAAGCATACACATAAATTATGCTAATTTTCTAAAATTGATGTGTGTGGAAACAGTACGAAATAAATATATCCACTCCTTTTATACATTTGTTTTGCTCATCTTAATAGACTAAAATAATTTATAACAAAAAATGCATTAATTAACTTTAAAATAGTAAAAAAACAAAACAGTGTGTTTAAGAAGCGTAACGACACTGACAGATACACGTAAGTCATAAATGTCAAAATGATGGCATGTCAAAATCGAAATTGCAACCTGAGTTGCCAGGCCTGTCTTTTTTGCGATTTCTCTTATTTATTACCACTGAATTCCTCTTTCTTTGGCTCATGCTTTGTAATTCTAAATAAGCTTTTTCCATATTTCTTTGTGCAATCATTTATATTATAAGTTTTTTTTTCTTTTACCTGATACCTCATTTTTTTATAAATATTTAAACATCTTTTTTTGTTGATGGCAGACTCTTCTACCTGTTGACACAGCTGCTTAACAGCCATAGCTTCTTTTGGCAGTATTTGCAGCCGGGTGTCAACGCCGATGTGGCGGCATAATCCCAACGTAACCTTTTGATAATGTACTTTATCCCACACTCTGTACAGTGCCGTGTGTAGATGCAGTAGCGCTATAGGTATAAGAAGCCTTTGCGGCTATTTTCCAGATGATATATTAGATGCCAGAACGTGAAGAATAATCTCAAGCCTGCGTGAGCTTTGAACTGAAGAGAACAGATGAGACTACCCACTAGTTAAACGTCTAGACGTTTAAATAGTGGGTAGTCTCTGGGTAAACTCTTTTTTTTTTTTTTTTTATTTATTCATGGCACAAGGTAACAGTTCATGTAAATACAGTAACAGTGAAGAAAACCACAGGTGGTTTATGTATCACTGCCATTAACCATTGCCATTTAACTAGTGGGTAAACTGTAGAGTTTAGGAGTCCACAAAGGTCTGCCTACTTTATTCCTAAAGTATCTACGCGTCCCTTTAAAAAGATTCTAGTTCTCGTGGGGTGATGTCAGAGTCAGAGCTATGAATGTCTTTACCACCCTAAAAACATTGCAATGACTGTGAGTGATTATGTAATATATACCAATGCTAGTTGTAATTACATAAATATTAAACTGTCATTTCTAACCGTGAGCCCATCTGTTAGTTTTACATTTGTTACTTAAATAACTCTGAGGGTTTGTAGAGAGAAGGAGACTTCTATCTCCTTTTTTTTTTTTTTTTTTTTAACGTGTGGAAATCGCCTCGGACCGTCACCCCCCCGGGGTTTGCGGCGGGGTGGTGTGTCGGACTCGGACCGACTAAAACCACACGGTGTGCCACTCTGCGCCTGTAATAGGAGGGATCCGGGAACAGCTGTTATTAAGACATCCGGACCCCTCCTAGTGCCGGCCCGCTCCTGTTGTGGGCTCCGTCTCAAAATTTTTTTTTTTTTTTTGTCCTCTCTTTTCGCCCCCTCGCGCCTGGCCAAACTAATGCGGGTGGAGGGGAAACCCACCCCGTCCACCCGCAGCCATACTCAGGGCGGCATGAGGCGGTGATAAGCGCGCCTCCGCCGCCCGGTTCACCGGCGGAGGATCGGGTCCGAGTGGAGGTCGTCCTCCCGGGCCTTCTCCGCCGCCTCCTTCTGCGAGATTACTTCCTCGCAGAAGGTTGCGACCGCGGTAAAACAACTGTCGCTACCGGCCATGGAGCGTACTATGGCCGGTAGCGAGAGATCCACTCCGATGACTGCAGTGAGGGCCCGGCGCTGCGTCGCCCATGCGGGGCAGACCGCCAGCGTGTGCTGGGCCGAGTCCTCACTGCAGTCGCAGTGGTGGCAGGCGGGACTCAGTTCCCTCCTAGCGACCGAGTGCAGGTACCTTCCGAAGCAACCGTGCCCGGAAAGCACCTGCGTCAGCCGGAAGGTAAGGGTCCCGTGCTGCCGCCCTGCCCACTCGGCGATGACCGGCTGGAGAGCCTCCACGGCGGCGAAGCCAGCGCGTGGAGTCTCCAGCCGGAACGACCAAAGAGCCATCGTGGCTCGGCGAGCGGCTTCGCGCCACTCGCGCACGTCTTCGGGCGGAGGGCGAAATCCGCTCTCCGCCCGGGAGTCAGCCACTCGCCGATAAACTTCGGCGAGCACTTCCGCCTCCAAATCCCACGGGGGAGTTCCGGCCAACGCGCACGCCACCTCCGTCGAAACGGTGCGGTAACCGCGTATGGCTCTGACCGCCATTACCCTCTGAGGGCGCCAGAGGCGTGCCCTATTCTGGGCGGTCAGAGCCGCCACCCACACCGGTGCACCGTATAGTGCCATTGACCGGACAACCCCCGTGTACAGCCGTCTTGTCGCGACGCTGGGTCCACCCAAATTGGGCAAAAGTCGCCCTAGGGCAGACGCAGCGCCGACCAGCTTTGGAGCAAGCTGTCGGAAGTGCTCGTCGAAGAGCCACCTCCCGTCGAGGATCAGGCCCAGATATTTCATCTGGGCCCGAACCGGTACGAGGACCGAGTTGACCACGATTGAGGCGCCAGGGGGTGGACCACGACGGGGCTCATGAAATAACAGGGCCTCCGTCTTATCTAGGGCCACCCGTAAGCCCAGCGCCTCAATGCGCCCGACCACCAGGGAGACTCCCCTTGTGGCCAGGCGCGCCGCCTCTTGGAAGTTCGCCCCCCGGGCTGTAACCAGAGTATCGTCTGCGTAACAAATTGCACCCAGCCCGGGGGGGAAATCGGCTCGAAGGGCCCAGTCGTACCCTATGTTCCACAAGAGGGGTCCAAGAACAGACCCCTGTGGAACACCGCAGGACATGGGCCGACACCTCAAATTACCATCTCGGTCCTCGTACACAACGGTACGCTCCTCTAAATAGTCTGCCACTAGCCGCCTCAGGTACTTTGGCACCCCATGATAGTGGAGTGCTTCCCTGATGCAGCTGAATGGCAGACTATTGAATGCGTTGGCGATGTCCAATGACACCGCCAACAGCACGCCGCCACAGCTCACGCCCTCTTCGGTCACGGCCTTCAGGCGCAAAACAGCGTCGACTGTCGAACGCCCCACCCGAAAACCAAATTGGGCGTCCGACAGATCGGGGCCCACCTCGTAGAGGTGCTGGACGATGCGGGCAGAGAGAACCCTCTCAAACAATTTACCCGCCTCGTCCAGCAGCACGATGGGCCTGTAGGCCGCGACCGAATCGGCAGGCCGTCCCGGCTTCCTCAATAGGACCAGCTTCCCGCTCTTCCAGCACTCAGGGAAACGTCCCGACGCCAAGCTAGAGACGAACACCTCCCCGAGGCGGTCTGCCATGTGGTTGAGGGCTAGGGCCAGCACTCGGGCCGGTACCCCGTCTGGCCCAGGGGCGGTGTTCTTGGAACGGATCCGTAGAACAGCCGCCCCTACCTCCGAATCCCAAACGGGAGGAACATCATCCTCCTCGTGCTCCCCGTCGTCTCCGGCCAAGGAGGCCATCGGCGGGGGAGTGTGTTCCGCTCGTTGCGGGAAAAGGCCCTCAACCACTTCTCGCAGGAAGCTGGGCTGGAGAGTCTCCGTAAGGGGGGGGCCCGATGCGCGGAGCTTTTGTCGCGCCGCGTGGTAAGGGCGACCCCAGGGGTCACGATTAAGACCCTCCAGCATCTCCTCTCTCTTTTCTTCTTTGGCGCGGCTAATGGCCAGCTTCAGAGTTTTCCGCGCCTGTCGGTACTCCTCATGAAGCCGGTCCTCCTCACCGTCTCCACGGTGACGCCGCCGACTGCGCGTGTAGGACCTCCAGCCGAGGTCCGCCAGCTCCTGGGACCACCAGTAGACCTCCTTCCTTGGAGGCCGACGAGACTTCTATCTCCTACTTCAACCCCTTGGGAACAATTTACCAAAATCTCTTCTTAATGCTTTGAATGGAGAATTTGTTTGAAGGTGACTCTCTTAATGATCATTAAGGAAGCAAGACACATTCTTCGCTTTTATCCAAACTTTAACTCCAACACGAACGTTATTATTTACCCTATATTCAGCCGTTTCCACTTTCTTACGCCTGGCAGTACTGTGCGAACTTTTGTATACCAATACTGAAAACCATACCATCTATAAATATCAACCACAGAGCTTGAATACGAATGTCATTATATTTTATTTAAATTCGGCGAAATTTAATATGCTTATAACATTTTAAATATTATTTTGTCAACTCTTATTGACTGATATAACATTTAACTGCCAACTAAATAGATATACCGGACACGATAGCTTTGAGAAACATAGGAAAAACATATGGTCAAGTTTCGTGACAACCACTGCATCTGCCAATTTATTGTCTTGAATTCGCTGTGGACTGTGGTGAACTGTTGTCTTCGATCAGTCAGTCTGTTTATCTGCTCTTTACAGTGTTTTTTTCCACGTATCTCAAAGAAAATAGACGACAATAGATATCTGTGCATTGTTTACAATACATATTTTTGTTACGCAGAAATGTGATAGTGTATTTATAAGTGTAATTAGTATAGAATAAAATGTCGGCTAAGGATAAGTGGGTTCGCCGGTTCTCCGTTGACGAAACTGCAAAACATAAAAATGGATTTACTATTTACAAGATAACTTCTGTGGTAAATATTTCACTAATATATTCAAGTTCCGTTTTTTAGACTTCTTTATTAACATAGACGATTCTTATAAGAATTATTTACCTAAGTATCCATGTGATAGTTTTCAATATTTTTTTCCTTTTATCCTTATATTCACTTCTTATTATGTGCATAATAGCCTTATAATTATAGAGATCTAAACATTCATTTTAATGAAATCGCATTAAATACTTTTTACTTAAATGTTTGTTGGACAGTTTTTTTTTAAATTTTATGATTCACAAGTTGCACAATAATTTATAATGAATTGTGCAATGGAAAACTGTGGACTTATGTGACTAGTGGAAGTACTTAAAGAAGAAATTAAAATGTGTTTTAATGTAATTAGGATCCTAACTCCATGTGGCGTTTAGTGTTTGTTTTTATAAGTTACAAAAAAAAAGAATGAAAAGTACACAAATCTGCTTGTAATGTAAAGAGTATCAATTAATTATTGCTAACAGTGTAACAAGTTACTAATTGAAAAGACCAGCTGCCTTGCTATAAAATTTATTAACCCAAAGCCATTACACACAGCCCATATTTATCTTTTCTTTTTAATTCTCGGGATCATGTAAGGATTCTAACATTAGTTGAAACATCTTAAGCTGTTCAGGCATTTAGAAGTTACGATAGAATACAAAAATACACAAAAACATATATGTATGAATCCTGAAAAGAAGAAAAAGATTTTTCTTCCAGTTGGCCCACCATGTTCAAGCATATGGTTTTATAACGCCTTTCTATTAATCTCTAATCAAATGTTTAACTGTTTAATAAGACTACTGTATAGCAGTGCCATGTTAATACAATAAATACCATTAAATAAAATTTAAACCACATTGATGTCAAACAAACATATGGTTTGCCTTAAGATTGCAACTACAGTGGAATGCCATGTGTGGTGGTGACCCTTTCAAAATAATCTTGTACACTCCTTAGTTAAAGAATATGTATAAAAATTATGCAAAAAAAATATTTTCAAGATTTTGCCTCTAAATAAAAGTATTTTCTGAGATCTATAGATAGATAGATTAGTTCTCAATTTATACAAAATTAAATTTCTTTTGGTTTTTAAAGTAAGTAAATAACCAGATTAGTGTTTTAAAGTTCATATTGTCGGAACATGCAATCAAAATGGATTTTTAGCAGAATGTAAAAAAAAAATCCTCTATTAAAACATGAGTTAGTCTCTACATAGACTGTCTGTTCTTTGTTTAAATGAATATTAACAATCACCGTTGCCATACTGAGAATCAGTTCCAGTAAACATTTGAAAAGAGAAAGTATGAATCTGCAGAATATGCTGTAATTAGTTAGCTCTCTAATTGCAAATTAAATATGTCCATCACTCTGTGAAGTTTAAATGTTCAGTATTATACTGCTGTGAACTGGCATTGCAGTTTTGGTTATAACATAGAGAGAGATAGCAAGCATTTTTTTTATAAATAAGTTCTGTCTTGGGGAATGTGCAAACAGCCAAGCCAATAATGATTTGCGCAATACCAATATTTTTTGAGATAATTCTAAGTAGAATTCTTCCGCCCACTCTACTTAAAATCAGGAAAAGAGAAAGTAATGAAATAGAGATATACTCAGCCTGTTGGTTGAGTAGAGATGCTTCCTAAATTGAAGTCATTTTAATTGATATGATGAGTAAGTATAAATAAACAAAAATCTATGTTACACTCCCCCTTGAATAAATAACAAGTAGGGTATGAGAGTATGTGTCAAATAAATAATCTTAAACCCCCATTATCACTCAGGTTAGGACACCTAGCTTCTCTTACCACAACTTGCACTGAAAATAACACTGGTAGTGCCTATGATAAACAGCATTACCCATTGACTATATGGCTAGCTGACCTTAGTAGCATATCTTCTCTAATAGGTTCCTCCCGCCCCCTCCCTCTCCCCAGGGTACTGCTCAGCTATTTATATGTTATTAAAACATTCAGAACATCACAATGTATAGATTTATTTTCCTAAAATATTTGTTTTCCTGTAGATTAATATTTTTAATAGATTTTATGTTCTATTTGCTTACAATAGAGCTCAAAAATTTATGTATTTATGGACTAAAGGTAGTCGTATTTATTATTTAAACAGTTTTTAATCAATATTTGTCCTTATAAGTATTTTTCATGTAAGTTAAGTAGTAAGTTCTTTTGTTTGTCTTTTAATGTAGTATGTTATTAATCTTTAGAACATACTCCCAATAGAAGTTAGGATATCCACTACCACTACTTTTTGCTACTATTCTTTAACCAACTTTCAAAAGAGGAAGTAATCCGAAATGTATATTCAGTAATAATTCCGAGATATATAGATTTTTTTGTTCGAAAGGGGTTTTTACAACAGAACTTTTCAAAAACTGACAATAGCAAATACAGCTATTGTTGCTAAGTTTTTAGTGCTCTTTGTTAGTTTTGTTTGAAGTTTGAGTTTATATTTAAGCTATAAAATGTGCTAACTCTACAATTGGTTTATTATTATTCATTATTTGAATAATATATACTTATGTATTTTATGTGAGTATGTATGTAGTGTGTATATATGTAAATGAAATGCATAAAAATATTAGGCTATTTTATGTAATACATGCTGTTATTATATATTGGTTATTTAGTTTTGTCCGTGTGGTGACAGATTAAAAATACGGAGTGTCACCACCCCTATTTATCCCGTCGGTGTCGTAAGAGCCGACTAAGGGAGCAAACTACGCAGGACAACAGCACTGAAAAGAGAAGGAAGACTTGAAATAAATTCTATAAAAACCTGTCTGGCCTTCGTGTTATAGTAGGCCAAAACCTTTTTTCAGAGGAGAGACCTATGTCCAGCAGTGGACTATTAAATTGATGGATTGGCTGTTGATGATTGATGATTATATATTTATGATTTTAATTTTACACCTGTCACACACATCATTTCACTGTGGGATAACAATGCTTGTGCACATACGGACCAGGCGCGACCAGAGTGACACCACAGTCTCACAGAAAACTGGTGTTAAGCAATTCTTTCGTTCCTTTTCACTGAGTACCAGAGCCCCTCTTTTCCCGTAATATTGTGGGGGGGGGGGGGGGACTTAAAGGACAATGCACTTGTGACTCATGAGTTGCGGCTGTCCATGCGTATTGGTAGTCACTTGCCATCAGGTGACATGTGTTTTTCAGTCGTTTGCCCGCTATGCCATTAAAAATCATCTGTGCATCACCAGAAGGTTGATTGAAAGAAAATATCTACAGCATTGAGTCCGTTTTTTTGTAACAATCTAGCCAAGTATTTGCAGGAAAATAAAACAAGTACTAATTTAAAAGTTATAACGGTACAAAACCCCGTATTTCTAGACGAATGTTACGGTAATTTTATTGCAATTCGTAAATGTAAATTAGTCAAAGATCCAAAAAAAAAAAACAAATAATATATGTTATTAGTGGTTTAAGTAATTTATTTAATTAATATGTTTCAAGGTGTTTTCGAGAGCATCTTCGAGAACAAAAGTTTACAAAAACATATTCTTTTGTAAACAAATTATCATTGTTATTAAATTAATGGCAATAAATACGATATATTTTTATTTGCTGTACATGTGTTGAACGTGTAACATTTTAATGGGGCGTTCACACGATAGGCAAGCCTCGACAAGTGTCTACAAAACACAAGTGTGTAAACGGGGTTTTTGGCTTAGCTTGCCATGCGCTTGGCGTCGATCGCGGCTAACTTGTCGGTTCTTCAACACAGATCAAAGGAAGCTAGCGGCAAGCGTTTGCGATGTATTTACATGTTGGTGCGTGCTTGTTCTCCACTGCTCAATTTGATTTGAGCTAAGCTGAGCATTCGGGAATCAACGTTAAGTCTCAATGTTCTACTAGTTGAGCAGTAGGACTAGAGGTTTTTATTTTCGTTTTTATATTTTAATAAAAATATGTCCACGTTTGCTATATTTGCCTGTCCAGAACACACTAACACACTCGCAAGCTTGTAAATGGCATCCAAGCGTTTGTAAAGGAGCTTGTGGACGTTTGCCAAGCCTCCGCAAGCGTGTAAACTATGCATTAGGAATGATTTTGTGCAAAGGGACGGAAGTGTGTAACAGGAATGTAGGTGTTGGTAGCGGGCGGTATTTGGTGCAATCAATGAGCGCTCACGGTACTAGAATTGCCTGTCAAATGGTGATCAGGCATAGTGCAAGTGTATATTACATCAACTCGCTCTCACTGCGAGCGCGTTCTGCGTTATGATTGGAGAGGAGTTTAGTTTGGGCCAATCCCAACGCTGAACGCTGTCACCATGACAATCGAATAGATGTGAAAAACACTCTTAGACGTCAGATGGTTTCAGATGGTACACATCATATGACACTACTACACGTGGTGTTAGTTAAGGTCAAGTGAAAGAAATAAGGGTTGCTAGCTGTAAAAGATCATTTAGAGTGAAAGGGAATTAGCGCGCCACATTTATTAGACAAAGATTGCGATATCCAGCTGACCGAGTTTTTGATGCCATTGTCCATGCAAATGTCCCCATTTTAATAGGCAATCCGGTCAAAACATATTGTCTCTGTAGTGTTATATAACAAGTCTCTAAGAATATTGTTACTAACAAATTGGACACCATGGTCTGCAATACAAAGTTTATTATTATAACTGAATAAAAAAGATTTTGATTGAATACTCGATGAACATAGGAATTTTGCGTTTTTTTAATTTTCTGTCGTTTCGACGAGCCATACAATTATCCTGGTCATCAGAGACTGAATCGTATTAACTAACAGTCAGCTTGTAACCTGGTAATTGTAACCTGGTCCAAACGTCAGGTAGTTTAAAGGTTCATGTACATTAAGGATACTGTAATATTATCTATTATTTTAAAATTGTCAATACTTGCCCGCGGCTCCGCCCGCGTTAATGTCGGTTACCGCGGTAAAAAGTAGTCCGTCTTTCCTCAAGAATCAAAGTATCTCTATACCAAATTTTATCTAAACTGGTTATTGATTCCCAATATAAAATTCACCCCCTTAAGGGATGACTGCTGGGATAAAAACTACCCTATGTCTTTCCCCGACACTCGGACTATATCTGTACCAAATTTCATTTAAATCAGTTCAGCGGTTTAAGCGTGAAGAGGTTACAAACAGACAGACAGAAAGACTGACACATTGGCATTTATAATATTTGTATGGATTTCGTGTGCATGCAAAGCAGCAGGCGACAGGAATTAAATAGACGATAAAATGAGTGTTGTAAGTCATTCTTACAGTTATATATATGTTCATACATTATGTGCATAGTGACAATAATAAATATTTATAAAAAGTGACTCCACAAATGTTATCGGCTTGAAAGGTAAACAGTATTGCGTGTCTCCTTAATAATGTAGAAATCAGTTTCCTCAAATATCTTTAGCCTTTATTAGTATTGATAATGTTATTTATTATACGTTTTGCGTCTGTATATTACATGTAGCATTACATTAGTCTGTCGAACATTCTGCTTATAATTCGATACAATCTTTCGATCTGAATCCACCATTACTTTACTATAGATAAAAGGTGCAAGGCCTCACCTTCTGCCATTTGGGCAATTTCCAGAATCAGCTTTCTGTGATGCCGCATAGAGCGTTAAAATTTAAAATAACTGAAGCTAGTCTAGCTAGAGCTCGTCTCTAAAAAAAAGCGGCCAAGTGCGAGTCGGACTCGCCCACGAAGGGTTCCGTAGCAGCAAGTAACATAATATAAAAGTTCTCAGATTTATTATTAGAAAATAATGGTTCACGGTTTATGCATAAAGTTTATGTTTATGACATTCAATGTTTTTTTTAAATATTTGAGTTGATTGAATGAAAGGTACATTGCGATTTACAATTTATGACGTATAGAAAAAAAAACTACTTACTAGATCTCGTTCAAACCAATTTTCGGTAGAAGTTTGCATGGTAATGTACATCATATATTTTTTTAGTTTTATCATTTTCTTATTTTAGAAGTTACGGGGGGGGGGGGCACATTTTACCACTTTGGAAGTGTCTCTCGAGCAAACTAGTCAGTTTAGAAAAAATGAAATTAGAAACTTCAATATCATTTTTGAAGACCTACCTATAGATACACCCCACACGTATTCGGGTTTGATGAAAACAAATTTTTGAGTTTCAGTTCTAAGTATGTATTCTAAGCATATAACCCCCAAAATTTATTGTTTTTTTTTCAATTTTTGTGTGAAAATCTTAATACGGTTTACAGATCACATCTACTCACCAAGTTTCAACAGTATAGTTCTTATAGTTTCGGAAAAAAGTGGCTGTGACATTCGGACTGACAGACAGACATGACGAATCTATAAGGGTTCCGTTTTTTGCCATTTGGTTACGGAACCCTAAAAACTGGAGCAGTTCAATTTACAAACACGAATATTTGAAAAAAAGAACACATGATTTTCTTTTTGGCGCGTTTTAACAAGGTATTGAATTATAACTAAAAAAATGCAAATTAATTTCAGTTATTCCTGATCGAATCTCCGGAATCATTGACAGAAGTTTCAGTGTGGAAGAGGTATAGTGATGTGCAGAGACTACACAAGAGCATGCGGTCCCTGCACGCCGGCCTACACTTACGGGGCACTTTTCCGACCTTGCAAAGATACAGCTATTTTAAGAGGTTCCAAAAAGAGGTTCGTATTGTCTCATAACTTTTTTATATATACTAGACAAGTTGGGATAAAACTGACTTTGATTTTTTATTACTTATTTATGACACACAATACAACTATTTTTACAGGTACAATTTCCTAATACCATAGTGTAGGCATTGTTGCAGCCGTTGTTATCAACATGTATAGTAACAAATAATACCTATTACATAAACAATTTTAACAACCTGACTCATCACGGCAGCCGGCCGGACAAACAATCTCACATACTTCCAAACACACAAACCACCGCCGAAACCACTCCCAGACACAAATTCAATTCGGTTGTAATTTTTTAGTAATGTTCATCTCAGAAATCCTTATTATTATGCGTATGCTTCCAGTTTTGATCAAATTGGAATTTGAAAGAAAAAATACCACCCCTATAAGTAGAAAAGTAAGTTAAGTTACAATTCCTCATAATATAGGCGTAATGAAGCCGGTAATACTGTTTTAAAAGTTAATTATTATTAATTATAGTGAACAGGAACCAACTGCGCAGGACAACAACACTGCAAAGAGAAGGAAAACTTGACACAAACCCTATACCAACCCGTCTGGCCAGCGTGGTATAGTACGCCAAAATCTCTTTTCTAAGGAGAGGCCTCTGTCCAGCAGTGGACTGTTAAAAGCTGTTGATGATGATGATGATAGTGAACCTGTGTCAATAGCAGCCAAGCTTAAGAGAATCAGTTGAATAGAAGAGAAAAGGGAAGAGCATAAGTTTGTGTATTTATTGTTAGCATATTAATATTTGATATTGTAGTTGACCTCAATCCGGATTCGATGTCTCGGATAGTAAAAGATATAGGTGTAGGTCTTATTCAATTCTCTTTCCCTTTCATCATCATCATCATCATCCTCCAATAGCTAGACTTTCCTTTCTAGGCCTTTCCTTAGAAAGGAGGTTGTGGTCTACAATGCCACGCTGGCCCGACGCGTTGGTATAGGGTTTGTTTCATGTTTTTGCAGTGCTCTTGGCCTGCAGATAACCCCCGCATAAGGAGCCTATTCCTGTGTCGCGGGGGACTTTACAAACACATGAAACGGATACAAAGAATACTCAGACTCAGAACAACAATTTGTCGAACACACAAAGTGTGATGTCCGATGTGGGGATCGAATCGAACCCACAAAACTAAAGCAGTAAGGCGCGCTTAAACCACTACGTCATTTGCCCCCTTAGTCGACTCTTTCGACACCCATGGGATGAATAGGGGTGGTGACACTCCGTATTCTTAATCCGTCGCCACACAGACACTTTAAATCACTTTCAATTTAAATTTATCCTATATTGAATACCTATTGAGCCAGTGCCGCCAGCATTGGCTTGCCCTCTATTATGTTGCCAAATGCCATGGAACTAAATTTATGGTTGGCCTTGTGGATAGAAGCGTGAGTGTTGTATATGAATGTAAATTTATGTATAGATAAGCATACGATTACACGTAACACCACTTTTTGCTACCTTTGTATGAAGATACTATCATTTCAGTTCTAGAATTTTTACGAAGTTTTCAGAATTTATATCAGGTTTTTAAATGAGTGGGAGGGAAATGATTTAGCCCAAATGGGCTGGCTCGACCATAGTGACAACACGACCTCTCACATCACATCATCACATCAACAGCCTTTAATAGTCCACTGTTGGACATAGGCCTCTCCTTAGAATGGAGGTTTTGGCCTACTATACCACGCTGGCCGGACGGGTTGGTATAGGGATTGTATCAAGTTTTCCTTCTTTTTGCAGTGCTGGTGTCCTGCGTTGTTTTGCGCCCTTAGTCGCCTCCTACGACACCCACGGGATGAATTGGGGTGGTGACATTCCGTATTCTTAATCCGTCACTACACGGACAGGAAAGGAAGGAAGCCATTATTTTTTTCATTTGACGGGCCTATTGATCTAGCGGATAGTGACCCTGACTGCTAAACCGGAGGTTGTGGGTTCGATTTCCACCCAGGAAAAAAATCTGTGTCTGTGTTTTATATCTATAATGATATATTTATCAGCAGTTTGGTTACCATAGCACAGGCTCTGCCTAGTTTGGGATCAGACAGGGTGTGTAAGATGTGTGAGCTATATTATTATTATAACTTTTCACCGACTCAGGAAGATACCGGAGCCTAAGTCCCTCCCCCCTATATTGGGGGGTGGACTCAAGGGGCAGTAACGGACTTTGGACCCGTGAGTTGCAGGAGTTCATGTGTGTCGGTAGTCACTTACCATCAGGTGACCCGTCTGCTTCTTTGCCCTCTATACGAAAAAAATGATAACATTCAAGTAAGCTGAACGTAATCAAAACTAAAAACCAAAAGCAAAACGAAAACCTCCTTTCCAAGGAGGGACTATGTCCAGCAGTAGACTAGAAAAGGCTGTTGATGATGATGATAAAGCTAAATGTTTGTCTATTCCAGGTCATAGAAGAAAGAGCTAAAACAATAAAGACTTTATTGGAATTCATAGCTGAACACCGGCTTCTCTTCGCCAGCACGGAGTTTGTCAACTTCTTACAGGTACATCTAAGAATTGTGATGATTTTTTAACGTAGCAATAATTGAAGAATATTTAAAATGTCAATAGTATGTGTTCCTTCCTAGATACTTACCTGAATAGACCACAAGATGGTATTTTATCCTTAGGTACACAGTCTATATGCATAGGCGTAGTTAGCTTTAGTAGTGGGATAATTTGAAAGACGAGAGGAGGTGGACAAAATTCAAAAATTAGTAAATACCTACCAAATTAGCATATATCAGTCAGTCTATCATCATATCCTCAGGTAATGTAGTCTTTGGAATAATGCTGAATAGATTACAGGTGTCATCTGCGGCTGTTTACTATGAGGATCTTGTGTCAACTAGGGTGAGTTTCCGTACGTTTAGGCGATTCTACCATACATATTATAGAAATCAAATATAACTCACTTAGGAACCATAATATTTTGTGGCCGTGGTGCTTCCCTGTTTAAAAGGGTGTATCTATGCCTATTTTTACTTCATTTTGTCTCCCGCTTCACTAAGGGAAGTAGATTTATTATATTTCCAACTCCTCCAATTTTCTTTTGATTAATATCGTTGCGGGTTCCAAGACAGTTTGATTTTTTCCTGGGACTTCTCGAGGGTCTTAACTCAGTGTGTTTGAGGGTCACTGCTGTGGATCCTGCTGTACAGGAGTTATAGGGTTGGGCGTGCCCAAAAGGGGATTAGTCCAAAAAAAAAGTCAGCAAATATGTAGAAGACAGGGGACCGCTTTTTACCGCGATAACCGACATACATGACCGCGGAGCCGCGGGCAAAAGCTGGTTCTTCATCTCTGTATTGTACACCAAAAATATAATAAAAATAATAACAATGTAGCAGTGTTATTTGGCTAATACAATTGGCAGCTTTTTCGCACTGTGGCAATCTCTTACAGGCAACCATGGCAGGCAAGCAATTAATAATCACAATTATTTGGCTTATTTTCACAATCATCAATTTTGTGGCTATTTTTGACTGCCTCGGTAGCGCAGTAGTAGCGTATGCAACTGCTGTGCTGAGGTCTCGGGTTCGATTCCCGGGTCGAACCAAATGTTTGTATGATCTGCAAATATTGGTATCAAAGTTCGGGTGTTTTCCATGTAAAATATGTATGTATTTACAAAAAAATATGTAAGTACTCTATCAGTCAATCTAGCTTTCATAGTACATTATTATTATTGTTCGGTAACCTTATAAATGAAAGCTGTATTCACTTGAAACTGGAGTTTACTAGAGATAACTAATTTTAACCCGAACATGTAAACAGTGCAAGATTAGTATTCTATGTGCTGTTTTCTTTATTTACAGACAGGATACCCTAAACCAGATCCGCCGGCAGGAGGCGTCATCAACGCGATCAGATCGTCTCTACACTTGCCAATCGAAGAAACTCCCCCTCTTGAATACCAGACGGATGATGATGACGCTTCCAGTCCCACTCATTCTGGTAAGGTTCAAGGTTTTCTCTTGTCTCTGAGCACTGTGCACTTGAATAAGATTTAAGCACTGTTATAACTGCCTCACCACGCAGAAGAGATCAAATTTTGTTGTACAATTGTTTAGCACTTGGTGATGGCTTTAAATTAGATGGGTCTGTAAAATAATGTTATTTCATCATTTAAACTAGCTAATAGTAACTGTGTCTGACGTCCAAGTAACTCTTTAGGCTGTCACGGTTTTACTCGTAAATCGGTGGATCAATTATGATCAGAATTGGGATAGAGATAGAGTGGCTTTAGATAAAGACATGTCTAAATTTCGTAAAAACTTGAAAATGGTGATATAGTTGATGAATGTTTGTATGGGGGAGGTGTTATGCAGACGTAGCAATGCCGAAGCGAGTTTGTTTGTTTTTTATAGTTTTACACCTGAACTGCTCAACTCATCGTCATGTACTTCAAGTCCGCTGTCAAGGTTAAAAATGACATAGTGGCCATAGCCTTTAGAAAAATGGCGCAGCTCCCTATAGATAGTCAAGTTACAATAATATTTTTCCACAACAAATACTTGTTTAGATGTAATTCTATGAGTGTGTGGTTTCAACACTGCGAGTATTGTTTCAGTGAAGAATAATAAACCATAACCAGGATGTTGACTATAGATTTACAGTTTATAAGTTTTTGTTCTTATTTAATGAAAAAAAAATATTCTATTGCAAAAAATGTGCATTAGCGGTACATTTTAAATAATACTCTACGCGAATCTAAGTATTAATTATGTAAGGCTGCTCAAGAAGTAGAAGGTTCTTGTCTGCCATTTTAGTAGTATAAAAGAATTGCGTGTTTTAGAATTTCATCCAACAAAGCAATATTTGTTTCACAAAAAATGGTGTAACGGTGAAACTCCGTTTTTGCAGCGCTAGCAGCAAACGAGACCCCGGTCAGCCAATCAATGTCTCGAGACGAGACAGACTTCATATCACAAATACCGATATACGAGGCTGCCGACGTCGAGATAAGGCAATCACCCAAAAAGATCTCGGGAGCAAGTAGTTTTGAATCAATCAACTCTTTAGAGAGCATAGACAGTGACATCTATGAGGAACTCAACAAAGTGACAGTGGACAAAAAAGTATGTGTCAAATCGAAATCAGTGTTGCCAGATTTAATAAATTTTGACGCGCCATCCACTTCTAAATTTGAAGATTACCACACTATGAGGAACAAAAGGTTTGATTCGGATACGGTGTCTCTAAATTCAAATGTTTGTTCCACAAGTTCGTGTGACGTAGACTCACGGAGAAGTAGTTCGCGGGTGTCGGTGTGTAGTAAAAGTGTTTTGTCTCTATCTAACGCGGAGTGTAAGACTAAGACGGAGGATAGTTATGTGTTCGAAGCTGGGTATATGCTGAATTTGGCAGCGAGATGTGAAGATATGGGAGACTATCAGAGAGCGTTTGAGTGTTATAAGAGCGGCATTGAGAAGATGTTGATTGGAGTACAGAGTGAGTATACCACATCTACTTATTAAGTGTCTGTTAACATTATCGAGAAGTAATTTGTTTGCATGTATGTAGGAAGTTATCTCTAAAACTGCTGACCTGGTTCTTCGTCCGCGTATCTGCCTGCAAAATTCATTCTAGATTAATTCAGCCTATATAAGCGATAATAGAACAGAATAAGCATAATTGTACACCAGTTCAGTGCATTTTACATACAATAGTATATCAAGTTAATGACAATGTGAAAATGGCGGTCTTATCGTTAAGAAGCAATTTGTTACAGGCAACCTTTGGATGGACAAATAGACTGTAGATAGATAAATTCATAGGCAGTTTCGGTGTAAGGTAAAATGTAAAAGAATCATAAATTATAAAAAGGAAATAACAAAGTAGTATTATTAATAATGCAGCAATACCTACTTATATAAATACACGTTATTACATATAAATCTATTTCTTTTTAAAAAGACAACTCCCGTATTAGGAATATATATCCTGTGTCGCGGGGGACTTTACAAACATACATGAAACGGACACAAAGAACACCCAGACTCCGAACAACAATTTGTGGATCACACAAAGTGTCGTCCCATGTGGGGATCGAACCCACAACACTCAAAGTACACTCGTAATAGGAAGCAGCGGGGCGACTGCTTAAAGCATTACGCTATCCTTGCAGTCGCCAAAACATATATATATATATATATATACTATTGAATTTAAAACCTAATTAAGTTTCTGTTTGAAATAGAGTTGCATAACATTAACTAGTTATTTTTAATTAATAGTGTTATAAAAATGTATTTTTAATTAACACAATCAACAATAGGTTGCTATTAGACCGGTAGTATGCTTGTCTGCTTGCATAAAAATCATAGGATATCTGTAAAAGTGGTGTAACATGGTGTAATAAAATAATTTAGTGTTGTGTAATATAGTTTTTGGATTTAATCGCCGTCTACAGCACAATGAAATGTTGTGTTTTAAGATTATGCTTTTAATTATCGTTTATCTATTGAATAGTTATTAAATGACATTTATTATTTTATCTTTGAATACCATACAAATGAAAGATAATTGTAGTTTTAAATATAGAAGATAATATGATATGATGGAATCAGAAGAATAGAAAAAGAAATGTAACGTTTATTATGTTTATTTTTTTATTAAAAATAAAGGTTGCAGTCTGTCGTTGCCGTGAACTCGTTTTCGTTTGTACGATAACTATACTATACTATACGATACTATAGACGCCATAATCAGCCTATCGCAGTCCACTGCTGGACATAGGCCTCTCCCATTGCACGCCACTTAGATCGATTTTGGGCTTCTCGCATCCAGCTCCTGCCAGCCATCTTGCGCAAATCGTCACTCCACCTACGTTTTACATATATTTTGCTAAATATAATTTAACACACTCACTTAACAGGGGGCGGGCTTATTGCCGCCAATCGGGCACTGGTAATTCAAGATATGTAAATTAAATAGTGTATTTAGCAAGATGGCGCAGTGGTTTGTGTTACAGGCTGCTACGCCAAAGATCGTGAGTTTAATTCAAGCTCAAGTCAAATATTAGTGTGCGCATGAACATTTAATGTTTGATTTGTTCTGTGTGTTTCATGTATAATATGTATGTATTTACAAAAAAAAAGTATGTATGTATTTATATCAGTTATCTTGTACCCATGTACTGGCTCTGCCTAGTTTGGGGTCAGGTGGTCGTCTGTGAATATGTTTAAAATCTATACAAATAAATAAAATTGGAGTGTCTGTTTGTACTATTAAAATAACCGCTTTTTACTAAATGCATATGTATGTTTACACGGAACATATGCCAAAATATCATTTTTTACAATTTTTGTCTGTCTGTCTGTTTGTTCCGGGTAATCTCTGGAACGGCGGGACCGATTTCGACGGGACTTTCACTGGCAGATAGCTGATGACATAAGGAGTAACTTAGGCTACTTTTTTTAGACTAGCTTCGCCCTGCGGAATTGCCCGTGGTTATAACAACAAACGGGTAACACCGCGGGTCTCAGCTAGTCTATACAAATAAATAAAAGTGGAGTGTCTGTCTGTAATATTAAAATAACCGCTTTTTACTAAATGCATATGTATGTTTACACTGTACATATGCCAAAATAACATTTATTTACAATTTTTGTCTGTCTGTCTGTCTGTTTGTTCCGGGTAATCTCTGGAACGTCGGGACCGATTTTGACGGGACTTTCACTGGCAGATAGCTGATCACATAAGGAGTAACTTAGGCTACATTTTTTAGTCTAGCTTCGCCCCGCGGAATTGCCCGCGGTTATAACAACAAACGCTTGTAACACCGCGGGTCTCAGATAGTTATATATAAAACCGACAAAAAACCAAATACTTACAGTATATAGGTACTTTTGAAAAGCGGAACAATCAGAATCACGTTTTCAGCATCCCTTTTATCTTATCGTATTATCCAAGTTAAAGTAGTTACTGATAACCTTATGCGATGTTATTGCTTAATGTTTCGGTGAGACGTCTAGACGACAGGACGCTTTGCGCTTCCAACATTTATATATTTACAATGGATTTTCTACATTTGTTGCATTATTTGAGAGAAAATAATGATGACAAAGAAACTACTAAATGCGGTTAGTAATGTACACGTATTTTATAAAAATAATCAGACTGTGCCTGCCATTGCGCCCGCGTGAGATTCAACTTAAACTTAGTAACAATAGGTGCAAGTACTAAATTTGAATAAAATATAAGTCCTTTTTTTATGGGATAAGGGGGCAAACGAGCGGACGGGTCACCTGGTGGTAAGCAACTACCGCCGCCCATGGACACCTGCAACTCAAAAGTCGCAAGTGCGTTGCTGCCCTTGGAGTCCCTCCCTCCGTAACTCAATTTTCTCATATCGCGTAATATTCAATTTTAAACTAAAAACCAAAAACTATCTCAATAATTCATAACTCGTAAAGTATTTCGTCTGGCCAGCGTGGTATAGTAGGCCAAAACCTCCTTTCTAAGGAGAGGTCCAGCAGTGGACTGTTATAGGCTGTTGATGATGATGATGATGATGGAAGTATTTCGTATAAAAATTAGAAACAGCAAAAAAAGATGCTGCATTTCTTTCGTCATAAGTAGACCAGAGATAGACAATTCGACATTTTTTTTTATGAATAACATACTAAGAAGTTTGACGTTTAAGCCAATTTTCCAGATACAAAATTTCCGCTTTTTGTTGTCAATATTCGTGAATATATCCCCCTCAAAATTTTGTTTTCCTTACCCTCTAGAGCAGTGCTTTTTGGATCAACGGTACCATGTCTCCTTTTCTGTATCCCTGACAACATATACACAAAATTTCATTACTATCAGTTGAATAGTTAAGGCTGAAGGCGTAATAAATAATAATCAAACTGATCAAAATCAATCTGACCGCACAGATAGCGTAGTGGTTTAAGCGGTCACCTCGCCACTTCCTACTGCGTAAGTGTTGTGCGCTTACATCACTTTGTGTGATACACAAATTGTTGTTCTGAGTCTGGGTGTTCTTTGTGTCCGTTTCATGTATGTTTTTAAAGTTGTAAAGGATCATATTACTAAATTAAATTTATTTGGTTACTATTTGACAAAACAGAGATTGTTGCTTTTATGTGTGTTGATCTATGACTTTAGAGTCTACATGGAAGACGATTTCAAACAATTTTGGAAATTTTATGAAATAAAGAAAGTTTGAGTTTGAGTTTAGTGCGGGAGTTGTCTTTAAAAAAAAATTTACATTCTCAATTAACTGCTCTTTATGCGTAAAAATATAGTTTATATGGCCCCAATAGTTTATAATCAACTGTATTTGTTTTTCCAATGTTGCTGTCTTTAGTGGAATAGTTTGTATGGCCTTTTGGTCTAATAATCGGTGATTCTGACTGTTAAGTCAGATAAGTTAAAGAAAAATTCCCGTTAAAGAAACATTTTTCATTGATGCTCGGCTCCCATTGGTCGTAGCGTGATGTTATGTAGCCTGTTTCGATAAATGGACTATCCAACACTTAAACAATTTCAATTCGGACCAGTAAGTAGTTCCTAAGATTAGCGCGTTCAACCAAACAAACTCATTAGCTTTATAATATTAGTAGTAGTATCATCATTACCTTATCACCGTCCACTGCTGAAGTATATATTGTTGCAGTACATATTTAGAAATAAGTGTGTTTATCACCAGTCTAGTTACGTTTCGTCGTAATATGTTCATAAAGAAACGGCTAAACACGATTATTACGAATTACGAAGCATTATTACTTTAATATACACATAATACACACTAACATACACATATAACACACGTATACATGTAAATACACGACGACTGGCCTGTTGGTCCAGTGGTTAGTGACCCTGACTGCTACGTCAGAGGTCGTGGGTTCGATTCCCACCCAGTACAAATAATTTTTGACTTTGACTGCACAGTTGGCGCAGTGGTTTAAGTGGTCGCCACGCCGCTTCCTACTGCGCCGAGTGTTGTGGGTTCAAACCCCACATGGGACGACACTTTGTGTGATCCACAAATTGTTGTTCTGAGTCTGGGTGTTCTTTGTGTCCGTTTCATGTATGTTTGTAAAGTCCCCCGCGACACAGGGTATATTCCTAATGCGGGAGTTGTCCTTTTTAAAAAAAAAAAAAATTGTGTGATCAGCACGGTCATTTGTTCTGTGTCTATGTGTACTTAGCTATAATATGTATGTATTTAGATATATATAAGTATATTTATCAGCAGTCTGGTTACCATAGTACAGGCTCTGCCTAGTTTGGGATCAGACGGCCGTGTGTGACCTGTGAAAATATTATATAAACTACTATTATATCTTATCTTAACAAATTACAAGTATTTCACCAATTTCGCTGATGCCCTAACTTCCGGGTACAACAAATTGAATTAGATAGTACAAACTGATATTTCCCAGTAAAGAACCAGATACCTACTTAGTCTGGTAGATAACGCCGATGTTACAATGTGTTCATACAAAATGTGTGATACCAATACATGTGGTTTTGTAATGCACAAGTATGGAGTATATTTAGGACTAGTTGAGATCCGCGGTGTTACCCGCGTTTGTTGTTATAACCGCGGCCCCCCGCGGGGCGAAGCTAGTCTAAAAAAAGTAGCATAAGTTACTCCTTATGTCATCAGCTATCTGCCAGTGAAAGTCCCGTCGAAATCGGTCCAGCCGTTCCAGATATTACCCGGAACAAACAGACAGACAAACAAAAATTGTAAAAAATGTTATTTTGGCATATGTACCGTGTAAACATACATATGCATTTAGTAAAAAGCGGTTATTTTAATATTACAAACAGACACTCTAATTTTATTTATTTGTATAGATATAGCTACTTTGATGGTGATAATGATGCAGAGAAAACACGAAGTACGTGCATTACAAACGTTATAAATTAGTGTTTAATGGACATTATTTCTTATAAAGTTACTTACACATATGTACATATGGTAATCAGACAGCTGATAAACATACTTCATCAATCATCATCATCAACAACCTTTAATAGTCCACTGCTGGACATAAGCCTCTCCTTAGGAAGGAGGTTTTGGCCTACTATACCACGCTGGCCAGACGGGTTGGTATAGGGATTGTTTCAAGTTTTCCTTCTCCCTGCAGTGCTATTGTCCTGCGTATTTTGCTCCCTTAGTCGCCTCTTACGACACCCACGGGATGAATAGGGGTGGTGACACTCTGTTTCTAAATACATACATTATCATACATGTATATATATTGTATATAAAAATACTTATATACATTTATATAGGTAGGTACATAAGTAATCGCATACGTATAGGTACATACAAGGTAAGAGGCTTGCAGAGAGTTTGAATTAAAGATACACAACCTGTAGCTCACACCAGCTGATGATCAATTGTCGTAGTAAAAATTCATTCAAAATGTAGTTCCGATCAACTCTCGATCTCATAAATGTCATAAGAGATATTCTCGTAGTAAAGTATTAAGCATCCAACGTTGACTGTAATGTTTCTTCTCCGTGGGAGAGCCATACTTCGACACGAATGCACCGGCTCGTCCGGAGTGATACCAACGGCCTCACAGAAAACCGGTGTTAAGCAATTCTTTCGTTGCCTTTCACAGAGTGAGTGAGGTTACCGGAGCCCAAATCCCCCTCCCGCTGACTCGAGTGGGAGGGACTCCAAGGGCGGCAACGCACTTGTGACTTTTGAGTTGCAGGTGTCCATGGGCGGCGGTGACCCGTCTGCTCGTTTGCCCCCTTATGGCATAAAAAAAATATATATTGATTTTGTCGTATTGTGAGCGAAGGTTAAATCGGTATGGTGCTAGTCTTAGTAATAGGTACTTTACTACGAGAATACATGTTATGACTTTTGTGAGATAGGATCGAATCGAAGCTAAATTTTGAAAGCTTTTTTTGCTTAAGTTTTATGCAAAGAAAAGCCAATTAAGTTTGTATAACGTATGTTGTGGAACTCCGTTTAATTATGATACACGACCATTTGCTACGTGTCACTTGGCTTGTTTTACATTCGCTTTTATCAACTGCACTTGTTACAACAAATTTTGAATGTAAATTTAAACCTACTTTTAATTATTTTCGTATCATAATGACACCTTGCATGTATAGTGTAGTTTAAATGATAACTGTGCATGTATTATGTCAATAAATCGTCTTGCATTCAAGAGAAAAGTGCGCGATCTTCATCGGGGTGAATTGGCGGAACAGTTACAGCGCTAGTACCCGACCGAGTATTTATATATTTTACTAGCTGACCCGCGCAACTTCGTCTGCGTCTCTCAATAGTAATAAATTTTCTCCGTTTTTGAAACATTCTTCATTGGTGCTCCGCTCCTATTGGTCTTAGCGTGATGATATATAGCCTATAGCCTTCCTCGATAAATGGGCTATCTAACACTGAAAGAATTTTTCAAATCGGACCAGTAGTTCCTGAGATTAGCGCGTTCAAACAAAAAAACAAACAAACAAACTCTTCAGCTTTATAATATTAGTATAGATTAAATTTATGTAGGTTTATGTATGCATGTGTGTTTTTATATTGTGTATGTTTCTGGACCTAAATTATGTGAAATTTCATATTTTATTTTGCACCTACCGCATCATATTTCTACATCACCTGAAGGTTGACTGGGAGAGAATGCCTAATGGCATTAAGTCCGCCTTTGTACAATATGTGCATTAAGTTTAAAATAAATAAATATTATAATTAGGCATCTTGAAGCTGATTAATGGAGCCAGAAGGTAAAAAAAATTCTTCAGTGGCTGTCTTTTCGTCCGCACTTCGTCGGCTTGATAATCATGGTCTGATGATGAAGCCAGCAGTACCATTTACTGTTAAAGTTTATTTAGTTTTACTAATAAATGTTTTATTTTTGTTGTTACAGCCGATACGGACCCTCAAAGGCGGGCGTTGATAAAAGAAAAAACAAATAAATACCTATCATATGCTGAGGAGATATACAAGAATCATTTATGTGGTGTTGATCAAAGTGTGAGTAAAAATATCTCTAAAAATCTCTGATTACTTCTCTATCTCTGACTACTCTTGAAAAGTTCTGTAACCACGAACACCTGCAACTCAACCGCACGTAGGTTTGATAATCAAGACCCGCAGGGGGTTGCCGTCCTGTAAATGCCCCTGACCTTCCCTCTAGAATTCTAGCAGTAAGTTTCTTGTTAATTAACAAGAAACTTACTGCTAACATAAGAATGCTTATATGCTTGCTTAATAGTAAAACCGTTAAAATTAACTTATCAAAACACAGTTTCATTGCTGCACGTTGGAAAACAGACCCAATTTATACAGCCTCAAAGCACATTTTGGCGTGGCAAAAAAAAATCTATCGCATCATGTTCTCTACAATAGTCTAATTTTATTAAACAAATGTCACTTTACAGTTACTGCCAGAGCGAGACGACAACATCCGACCTCTCCACTGTCCGATCCCGCTTTCGATGTTGAAGCGACCTTACGAAGATTTGGCGTTGTACAGGGTGCTCGCAATATTGGGCTCGAGTATGATGCTTGTTCATAGACAGGATCAGGCATATTATGCGATGAAGGTAAGGTCAAAATACACTTGTATTATTTTTATTATTTCTTTTTTTCTTTACATAAAATTTATTTTAAGGCTAAGTTATAAATATCTCATACTCATCCTCCCCACCCACACATACACACACTATCATATTACACACAGGGAGGCTTACACTCCACAACTCAAACTCACATAGAGACTGCACGGATGGCGTAGTGGTTTGAGCGGTCGCCACACCGCTTAATACTGAGCTAAGTGTTGTGGGTTGCATCCCCACATGAAACGACACTTTATGTGATCCACGAATTGTTGATCTGAGTTTGGGTGTTTTTTGTGTTCGATTTACCTATATCTGTAAAGTCCCCGCGACACAGAATATATTCCTAATTCGGTAGTGTCTTTAAAGAAAATAGAAACTAGTATCTGTACGATGATTAAACTATTTGTTTAAAACTTACAGACTCAACAAATATCGCAGTTCAAAACAAATTATCAATTTTTGATTGATATCTGTCCTGATCTCTGATCCTTACAGAAATCATTCCTAGTGTGAAGGACTTCTTTTGAAATAAAAATTGTTGGTAGCACTGGTAACCGCTTACCAGTAGACGTTATGAGTATTAGTCAACTTAGTTGTATAAACACGACTGTATACTACATTCAAAATTTAATTGCTCCTGATGGCTGTCCACGTTGTACAGAACCAGCACTTGCAAAACTACTAAATAGTCCCAACGGAACAGTTATTTTATCTTACTATATAAAACAAATTAACTGCTTTAATATGTTTTATAAAACATTAAATTTTGCCTTAACAATTTTCAGGTGATCCAGAAAGTACCAAACAACTTAACAGAATTTGACGAATACTTCCTTCGAAGAACCAACGAGACTCGACAACCTATACTGCCTACCGTTATACCATACATGGTCCCTTTACACGCGTATATCGAAACCAACAACTTGATATTCCTCATACTAGCATACGCCCCTGGAGAAAAACTAGTAAACTACATTAAAAATTACTCAAAATCGACCCCAACAACACCCGCTAGAGAAGTCAACTTAGAAAATGTGTTCACAGAACCGAAAAACAAAAATGTTGATACGACTGATAGTACTGTTGTTGTTGTTGATAATAATAATGTTGAAGGAGACGTGTCCGTTTCTGAATTGGTGAGGAATTCTCAGAAGTTGTTGTTGAATGTTGATAAGGCTTTGACGGAGGATAAGAACGAAGGTACAGTTGTTGAAAATAAGGCTGTTGATAACGTGTGTGGGACACCTTGTAGTATGGTTAGTATTTATTTACTTCAGTGCAAGTTTAATTTGATTTTTGTGGTAATTTATGAATTGATCAGTTTAAGCATGTTTATTCTAAGATATTAATAATTAAGTCTATAATGACATGAGATGATGAGAAGTTTCTAATGTTTATAACTCTTATTTGAATGAAGACTATGATTGGACAAAGTATTAAGGGTGTATTAGTTGTGTGTGTATTTCAAGACGGGCCTGCTTAAACTATCAAGACAGAAGTAGTGGGTTCGATTCCCACCCAGGACGAATAATTATGTGATGAGCACGATTATGTTTCTGTGTCTGGGTATAATTTATCTATGTACTTAGCTCTTTCTCAGTATAGGTTAATCTGTGATTGTATTGCATTTCTTGCACAGTAATACAGTACAGTTCAACATTAATAATAATTATTAAAAAAAAGTTGCTTCAACATATATACTCAAAGTCTTCCTAATCAAATCAAATCAAGGCTTTATTTTGCAGAACATGAGCAGGTATAAAAGTTCTTACAATTATATCAGTTTCATCATATTCTGCTGACACAGCAACATGCAAAATTAATACAATGAACAATAAATTAATATAAAGATTGAAATTGAGCAAAGTTACAAATAAATGATGTTTATATAGTTATCACTGTTATATAAATTAAACAGTATTCATTAATAATTGGATATACACATGTACTATGCAATTTCTCTTTTATAAGTGGGTACAGAGAATTCTCTTCAGATATTCACATATAAATTGTTATATTTTAGTTGTCGGTGCGAGGTCGTCAAGTAATACCCCCCTCTGCGGTGTGCAAGTGGGGGGCCGAGGTACTCACCGCCTTAGAGAGCTTGCACAACTATGGCGTTATATGCAGGTATTATAACTATTACAAGTATACTTTAAAAACTATATTTTTAGTTTTATAATTAAAAAGAATAAAATTTTGTTACTCAGCTTTATGACACCAAATGCACCGAATACATAATTTGACTGCCTCGGTAGTGCAGTTGTAGCGTATGCGACTGCCGTTCTGAGGTCTCGGGTTCGATTCCCGGGTTAGACCAAATGTTTGTATGCTCTACAAATATTTGTTTCGAAGTTTGGGTGTTTTCTATGTATACCACTGCACCACTGAGGCAGTCACGTTTGAATACATGTGTGTAATTAGTTAAACCGTGAGAGAGCAATGTTTCGGCACAAATGGGGAGGCTCCATAGGAGTGATACCACGGCCTCACAGAGGTTTTAAGCAATTTATTCGTTCCTTTTCACGTAGTGAGTGAGGTACCGGAGCCCAAACTCCCCATTCTCCTGATTCAGGGGAGGGTAGGTGGTCTCAAAACTAGAAAAAACGTCGTGGGACAAAATCACAGTGAACTGTGAACGAACGATGATTTATCATTCGATTTTTTAGGTTAGGGTTACTACTCACTCACGCGTTGTTGCCAATAAGCTGTTTTCAGACGATGCATAAAGACCCTATTTCGCCTATTTAACAGTAAATCTAGTAATTACTTTATTATAAATAGCTACCATTCCATACATAATAATTTAAAAAAATACTAGATTTACTGTTAAATAGCGTCTAAACTACCTACCTAGCATCCCTAACCTGCTTACGTAAAAATCGAATGACAAATATATATATATCTCCCACACACTCACACACGGCTGTCTGATCCCAAACTAGGCAGAGCCTGTACTATGGTAACCAGACCGCTGATAAACATACTTATATATTTCTAAATACATACATATTATAGATAAATTACACCATAGATAAATCACAGTTTACTGTGATGTTGTCCCATCAATACCCATTTGTCGTTTGCTATACTATAAAAATAAATGCATTAAAATACTGTCTGTTACAGAGACCTGAATCCATCGAACATATTACTCGGCGAGCGTGGACAAATAATTATTACATACATGATACACTACCCGGGAGTCGACATGCAACTACACAAGCTCAACACGTACATTATGTACATCGCGCCCGAGCTGTACGACAATAGCATAGACGATGTTCTGTCCAAAGTGTGTGATTTCTGGAGCTTCGGCGCTATCATGTACGAACTGCTCTGTGGAGAGGTCAGTATAATAACATATTAATCACTAGCTAGTACCTGTGACTTCGTTCGCGAGAATTTGAAAAGCGCTGCCTTAGTGGTAAGATACGCCTAGGGCTCCCGACCCGGGCAAAATTTTATAGGGAGGAAAAATAGCCTAAGTTACTCCTTATATAGACAGCTAGCCTGTAGTAAAATGTTATCAAAATCAGTGCAGATGTTTTGTAAGATTATAAGACAGATAGATAAAAAATACTTAAACTGGTTTTTAGGCATGTATATCGTGAAAAAAACCGTGTGAGCATGCGAAAAACCTTTTATTTTGACATTAGTAAGAGATACTTCAATTTAATTTATTTGTATAGATTATTATAATTTACCAGATGGTATACTTAAAAAATAACATTTATGTAAGTACATATTTTTAAATCATAGTTACTTTATCTAATGTAAAGCTTAATTATAAAGTTATAAGAATGCCAAACAACGATAATAATTATTAGAGATGCCACGAATAGAGTATTGGCCGAATAACGAACATACGGCGAGGCTCTTGGCCAAAGCGCCAAATATTCGGCGTTCGAACATTCGACAACACTTAGTACATTTCGCAGATGAAAACTTTAAACAAGCATCTCTAAAGTGCTGTGATTGGGCCATGTTACAACAAACTTGTTGTTAGTATTGTTACATTATTGTGATTTTAAGAAATAATACTGTGGTAATTTACGAAGCTATTTTGAACAATACAGTATTATTATTTATTCAAATAAATACGTTAGATACGTTGTGCATTTAATGTAGATCAAAATTGCCTTAAATAGCATATCATTAAAATGAATATCTTAGTGGATATCAGAGATTTGAAATGCGGGGGCAAAGCGGCCGTCACCGCGTCGAGCCGTATAACCGTACCGGGTGGCAGCAGCCGGCACGAACAGAGCGGGTCTATAAATATTGCATAATATAGAGATGTTCTTTAGTAAAGTCTTACAATAATAAAATTATTCCATAATTAATTACTCCACACCGCCGGGGCGGATCGCTGGTTTTATATAAAATCTCTCTCTCTAATTCGTAAATAGAATTCTACAAACACATTCTTAGTAAATTTCACAAAATACTGTTGGAATTTAATACCTAAATTTTTATCTGTGCTCTCTGAGTATATGTATGTATATAGATTATAATGTTTCCAGCCGCTGTCTGTCCACCACAGGAGCATCTTCACGACACACACAATACTACACATACCGGATGGATTGTCTGTGGAAGAGCAATCTTTGCTAACACAGGTAAATAAACCGTAGAGATATAAGCATAGAGAGAACACGGGGTACAGCTACCTGTGAGTGGAAGCTATACAGGCTACGAGAGAGATGGATGCCCGATATTTTCCTCTGTCTCTGTTTAGCTCTGTGTTTAGCTGAGCTGGGATTGGCTACTTATTAAACCCATTATATTCCACAGAGACTGGAAAGAGATAGAAGGAACTATCTATTATCCATCTCTTTCGTTACCTATATTGCAAGATTGGGGCTCTTGTTCACTCTATGCTTATATTCTATGTAATAAACCGTTATTTAACACATTAATCTTTTGTTTGAACCTAGATGGCGTTGTGTGTCAGTATCCGAAACTATTATTATTGAATATTGACGGGGCTGTTGGTCTAGAGTCAAGCGGTTAGTCGTGGGTTCGATTCTCACCCAGGTTAAATTATTGTGTGACGTGCTCGATCATTTGTTCATTTGTTCTAATTTATCTATAATATGTGTACATTTAAAAATGTAGAAGTATGTTTGTCAGTCTACTTACCATAGCACAGACTCTGCCTAGTCTATAGTACGTGCACGTTTAAGCTACAATATTATTATTGAATTAATCTTCACACATTCACTTTCAAATTTCTGTGTTCTGAAGAGTAGTATTAATTCGAGTTGAAATCTGTTGTGAAGCATCCTCAATTCTAATTAAATTACATCTATAATACATAAACATAAAAAAATATAATTGATTTGTGTTTCAAGTTACTTACTAAAAAGAAAGATAAAAGAGTTTATAGAAAAAACACTACTGATAATCGCCATTGCAAAATAGTTATTGACACGACATTGTGTCGTTGTATATATCTTGTAATCTTCTATTTCAACTTACTTTGTATCGGCCCATTAGCTCAGTTGGTTAGAGCGTCGTGCTAATAACGCGAAGGTCGCGGGTTCGATCCCCTCATGGGCCACTTCTATCTTTTTGTATTTTATATTCTACCATTTTTTTAAATTGTTTGTATAATTTTATCATTAATTAAGCGCAATAAATAATGTTATTTACAGTTTTATTTTTATTTTTTTACTTACGGTTAAAATATTTCTCAATAATATTATGTGATTTGAACCGATTTTAGGATTTCTTTTATTTTGATTGATATTATTATTTTTAAATTGAACCATTTACAAAATGTAATTAACTTTGTAACTGACCGTGATGTGATGGATTAACGGAGTATTACCAAACTTATTTATCCCTTGTGTGTCGTAAGAGCCGACTAAGGGAAAAAACTACGCCGGACAACAGCACTGCTAAAAGAATAGGAAAACTGGAAACAAACCCTATACCAACCCGTCTGGCCAGCGTTGTATAGTGGTCCAAAACCTTCTTTCTAAGGAGAGGCCTATGTCCAGCAGTGTACTATTAAAGTCTGTTGATGATGATAATGAATTAACTCTCTGTCACACATTGTATATTGACTTAACCAATTATGCTTTCAGCTTCTCACATACGAGCCATCAGAACGCCTGGGTTCAGGGCCAGACGGTATAGAAGAAATCAAACGCCACCCTTACTTCAAACATATAGACTGGCAGTACATATACGACAGCTGGACCGTGCCAGACTGATGCCAGCCTAGTGGGGAAAGGAGTCAGGAGGAGAAGGACTGAGTAGCAGTAACAGTTTTTTAAGATGTTTCAAGATAAGTGGCGTTTGTACTATAACTGGGGAGTTAGGATATCTATGTCACACTAGCTGTTTCACGCAGCTTCTCTTACGGTGACTCTTTCGCTCTTGAGCGTGATGTTACACAGTTTATAACCTTCCTCAATAAGCACTCTGTTCGAAACAAAAAGATTTATTCAAATCCGATCAGTTATTTCAGAGATTATCGAGTTTGAACAAAGTGACAATAAAAAACCACTTCAGTATAAAATTTGAGCTCATTACATTGTTACATTGAATTAAAATGGATTCGAATTCACGATATTTTACTGTTAGACTGGTAGATATCATTTTATTAAAAATAAGCCAATTTTTATTCTGAAAACGATTTCGCTGTTGTATTCGATTTATTCAAAATTTCTGCAATGCTATTTCTAATAGATTTTGTAACTCGGGACTAAATTGTTATGATGGTGATGGAATTGTATTGATCGTGGTTCAGTCATGCGACTGAACCTCAATATGTCCAATTCGAAGTAATTGTACCTTATACATAAATATAGTGAAGATGATCTAAGAAGTGTACACAGTGTGTAGTGTGGTACAGAGCATAATTCTTAAAAAAATAGACTAAATGCATAGCCAGAAATGTAAATATTTTAAAACGATTAACATGTTTTGAATTTATTGATGATCGTATATTCATTTGTAATCTGAATCGATTGTTATCTTCGCTTTGTAGAAACCTCAACCCTAAACCCTAAAATGAAATGATTTTGACTATAATATGTATAAAAATAGTTGATCAAGAAACAAAAAATCAAAACGTCAGAATTCAAATCGAGGTTAACTTGCGTATGGTACTGTACATAGTGTTTTATGTATGTACATTATAAATAACTGTCTTATACTGCACTAATATAATATAAAGTATTATACCGTGGATCTTTGAATAAATAAATGTTGATTATTTTACAAATATCAATATTTCATTTATAAAACGCTTCTATAAAATAAGAGCAATGAATTTAAATTTCATTTTCATTCATTCAGTTAAATTTGAAATTTTCTGTCAACATTAAATTTCTTGATGTCGGTTTTAAACAAAAAAATGCCTATAAAGAAAAATGTTGAACCGACTTCAAACAATACTAACAAAGAGCACTAAAAACCTATCAGCATTCGCGGTTGATTTGCTGTCATTTTTTGACGAGTTCGTTTTTCTGTCACCGAAAATCATCATCAGATCTATATGAAATTTAAATGCGACCATTTCGAAAGAATCACCTTTCGAACAAAAAAAGAATTTTGAAAATCCGTCTATATATGACAGAGTTATGCTAAATATTATTATTTGTAATATATCTCAACATAAAGAACATAATAAATAATAAAAATCGCATATAAATAACACTACTATACACTGTAGCCGCTTTTCTTCTCAGGCGGACTACTCACCGGCTGACCCAGTGGAGAGATCTATGAGATTACCTCAGGGCGCCTTCTAAGAGAAAGTGTGTGCGTGTGGGAAACCTACGGGACTCTTTAGAGGAAAACAACTTACACCTCAGTCATACATACATGTATATTTCAAAACAAAATTATATTAACAATAAAAAAAATCAGAGGGTATAAAAAAAAAACCGCAGCGGAGCGCGTCAGAGCCGAGCTGATGGTGCTCGGTGCCTCCTCGTCGTCCCTCCAGGAGGTTACTTCCTCTTCCGCCCGAGTCGGCTATTTATATTAGATACGGACAAAAGTCCAACAAATTACAATTATAAGTTCAAGTACGTAACTCTTGGGTACGGCTGTCCGCTTGCGTCGTGAGCCGCGCAATCACCAGCTTTGCCAGAGGGTACCGAGAAACTTGAGTCTGTACCAGAAGGCCACAAAAGAGCAAGCACGCCGTCTAAGACTGACTGTCTTGACCCCGAAATCTGGGACCCACTTTAGTGTGGGTACTTTGAACAGATAATATATTAAGAAAATCAAATCACACAGCAATCAAAACACTATATAAGATCGGAAGGCACGAGATAGCAGTCTCTCCCGTGGCAGAAAGCCGGACTTATATATCCTAGGTTCAGGAATCTTCCAGAAGTTAACCCCTCCTCATCATTTCACTTTGACATTTAACATCAGCGAACACAGAAGATCAAAACTGTAGTTATAAACTACCTTAGATAAATTAAAAACAATGCAACGCGGCTAATAGATGTAGCTTTTAACAAGACCAACAAATGTACAAAAAAATAACTGTTACACCACCCCCTCCCTCAAAGTATTCCCTGCGTAGTGTGCGCAGGGAATATCCTCAACAGGGCCAAAATCCATATAAGTGGTTTTACGAACCCCGTGGTTTAGGAAAACATTCTATACTATGACTCGCGACTACAAAGCCTGTGGCTATCCATATAGGACACCACATGACATAACCTGAAGCCATCCATATGGGACCCAAACACGACAGTAGGCCGGAAGCAATCCTCATAGGACACAAATAAGAAAAATTTTGACGTAGTCCGAGACCACAATTGAAAGAACATTTCCCATGTAGGAAATGTAGTGAATGGACCCCTCAGGTCACAAAGGGGTGTCCTGAGAAGGTCTAGTCAGTTATAACTACACCGGCTAACCTATCTAGAAGGTATCTAGCCCTAACTCTAATAAGACAATTTATAGTACGAAACGGAGTCACCTGAAGAAAAAAACCTGTTCCAGTTCAAAGACCTTAAGCCCGCTGACAGACCATGTCAGAGGCGGAAAAGGCAGGAACAGCGGCGATGGCCTTAAAGCGGCCACGCCGGATAAGCCGCAAAGCAGTACGCATCTCACTTCGCAATCCGACAACCGTATCCTCAGGATTCGCTGAAATCCCCATGGAAGACAGTTCATTAATAAGTTCATCAATTTTTAGGTAGTTAATGCACTTACGAACATGTGCCATGGTGGTTTACAATTTAAATTCGATTATCCAAAAAAAAAAATCTTAACAAGTTAACAAACTAGTAATGCAGACTTAAAGTCTTTTACAGTTCAAAAAAAGTAAAAAAATAACGATATTGAGTAGACTTCTTCACTAATAACAGAGTGTGAGAAGGTTAAAGTAAATTAATATTTAAAAATATTATAACAAAATATTAAAACTTCAAGTAATATCTCAAAGTAGAAACTGAGTATACTTCTTCACTATTAAGTGTGAGAAAGCTAAAGCACACTAATATTTTTAACAAATATTGCAATAAAATATTATTATATCAAGTAATATTTCAAAGTAGAAACTGAGTAAACTTCTTCACTATTAAGTGTGAGAAGGTTAAAGCACACTAATATTTTTAACAAATACTATAATAAAATATTAAAACATTAAGTAATTCTCAAAACTTGAGAAGTAAATTCAACTAAAGACAAAGATATTCTTGTTTCACAATTCAAGACACAAGTTATATTATCTTTAGAACATTAACACAGTAATCCAATGAATTGACAAAGTTTAATTATCATAAAAGTTATTTCAACATAAATTTTAAGTAGGGTATGTATATCACAAAACTATTTTATTCTAATTTTAAGCCAAGAGGTTATATAAAAAATGGAGGGTACATAAAACTTTATAAGTTAAGTTAAGTTTCAAGTAAATTACACCAGTAGTACTGAAAAAAAAACACACTGAATATACACGTATGCACAACTTCACGCTACGGACCTCAAAGGTACGAACAGAAGTAGCTAACTCAAAAAAAAAAGAAAAAAAATTTAGGCCAGAAAACGTTTCAAAACTTACCCGAAATATGTGCAGTAGGAATTTTGAGTTAAATTTGGAATTTAGATGTCTCATATATTTTCCTTGCCTCAGGGATGATGGTAGGCTGAAAATATAATGAGGGTAAAAATTATTACATGCGTACTGCACCCGCACAACCAATTAACGTCCTGGGGAGTATCGGACGGAAGGAAGTGTCTCCTCCAAAGCGAATACCCTCAGGCACCCTCACACAGCACACACACAGAGGTTTGGATCACTGGCCCCACGTTGGGCGCCAATTTGTAGCCGCTTTTCTTCTCAGGCGGACTACTCACCGGCTGACCCAGTGGAGAGATCTATGAGATTACCTCAGGGCGCCTTCTAAGAGAAAGTGTGTGCGTGTGGGAAACCTACGGGACTCTTTAGAGGAAAACAACTTACACCTCAGTCATACATACATGTATATTTCAAAACAAAATTATATTAACAATAAAAAAAATCAGAGGGTATAAAAAAAAAACCGCAGCGGAGCGCGTCAGAGCCGAGCTGATGGTGCTCGGTGCCTCCTCGTCGTCCCTCCAGGAGGTTACTTCCTCTTCCGCCCGAGTCGGCTATTTATATTAGATACGGACAAAAGTCCAACAAATTACAATTATAAGTTCAAGTACGTAACTCTTGGGTACGGCTGTCCGCTTGCGTCGTGAGCCGCGCAATCACCAGCTTTGCCAGAGGGTACCGAGAAACTTGAGTCTGTACCAGAAGGCCACAAAAGAGCAAGCACGCCGTCTAAGACTGACTGTCTTGACCCCGAAATCTGGGACCCACTTTAGTGTGGGTACTTTGAACAGATAATATATTAAGAAAATCAAATCACACAGCAATCAAAACACTATATAAGATCGGAAGGCACGAGATAGCAGTCTCTCCCGTGGCAGAAAGCCGGACTTATATATCCTAGGTTCAGGAATCTTCCAGAAGTTAACCCCTCCTCATCATTTCACTTTGACATTTAACATCAGCGAACACAGAAGATCAAAACTGTAGTTATAAACTACCTTAGATAAATTAAAAACAATGCAACGCGGCTAATAGATGTAGCTTTTAACAAGACCAACAAATGTACAAAAAAATAACTGTTACAACACCTCTTATATTGTAACTTTGTCTTTGCCACGCTTTCACGCACCGTGCACCTACACGCTCTGCTCAACTTTACAC